TTCAGGGCACACAATCTCCGCTGCCTTCATCATGCATGTTTTTACAAATTCACCCTCACTAAATGGTTTTGAAGCCACTGCGATTTCACTAGCAATGAGGTAGCTAGCTTTCACTGCAGCGTCACTGATGTCTCGGCTGTGAGTAAACACAGACTGCTGTTTCTTCAGACCCGCCAACAGTTCATTCACCTTCTCTCATCTCCGCTGTCCTTGAAAGTTGTCATATTTGTCGGCATGAAGACTCACATAGTGGCGACGAAGGTTATATTCTTTCAGCACTGCAACATGCTCTGAACACACCAAACATACAGCTTTCCCATTCAATTCCGTGAATAAATAGGATGACAATTTTTCTTGGAACACTCTGCACTCTGCGTCCCCTTTTCTCTTTTTTGACAGAGACATATTGGGGCAATGAGGGTGCCAAAGCACATAATGTTAAAAGTAGAAGCCGTAATAAATATTGCGGGCAAAACAAAGTAGCTCATTGGCTGCACGTGCTTGACCTACTTGCTCTGCCCCGGTATAAACAGTTTGCTTGCTTAACACAATTGCTATTGCGCCATCCAGTGGACGCAATTGGAACAGCAGTTTATTTTATTGAAAAATTGCAGCGCATTTTATACTTTACAATATATATATATATATATATATATTCTTTTTTCAAAATCATCTCGCGGGCCAGATTTAACCCGTTTTCGGGCCTGATCCGGCCCGCGGGCCGTACGTTTGACACCCCTGGCCTATGCCATCCCAGGTCCCGAATGGTCATCATTCCCTGGGGCCCTTGCAATGTTTGTCTTTCAGACTGTCTGGGTAGGAAATGACCGAGGATTAAAAAAGAGGAACTGACCTTTTGAGAGAGAGAGAGAGAGAGAGAGGAAGCAGGGTCTTGAGGAAAGTTACTGAGATGACAGTATTGGCCACCCTGCAGTGCAGTACCTCAGGTGTGATGATGTAATCACAGAAACAACCAGGACTCTCTCCATCTCTCTCCATCTCTTCCTTCTTCTCTCTATCCTTTTCTTTCTCTCTATCTGTCTACCTTTTCCCACCTCTGTTGATCCTATGGTAAACAATTGTCAGGGCCATGGTGCTGCAAACAGGGAAGTTTTTTAAATAAGAAATTGTCATATAGTTGTTCCCAATAAGCTCTATTGTCTGTATGTGTCTGTATGTCTTCATTTGTGGTGTTATTCTATTGTGATTCAAACACATTCCCTCCATTATGGTTACCATCCAAGTCCCTTCATATTCTAGGATTGGCTGCACTGGTGGAACGACGCGTGCATGTGTGTGTGTGAACACATGAGTGTCTGTCTATACAGAATGAGTTTGTATGCGCATGCGCATGTATGCGCGAGCGTGTGTGTGTTGGCATTGGGGTTGGGGGGAGAGGAGAGGAGGGGAGTACATTTTCTTATCTGTGGGCCACAGGCGGCTTTGAGAGTGTTATCAGTAGACACCACATTGTACTAGCACATCCTCTTGTCCAGCGGGGAGCGGAAAAAAGAACGGGGGGTCTATTTGCGTCGGTGGGTTCGAGTGGGAGAGGAGAGAGAGAGAGAGATGAGGAGAGAGAGGGTAGTAGAGAGATAGAGAGATAGAGAGAGAGCGAGGTAGTAGAGTCGAGAGAGATATATAGTTCTAGCGTTAATGTCTCTCTCGTCTCTCTATCTCTATATATATTTTCTCTCTCTACCCCTCTCTCTCTTGTCTCTCTCTCTCTCTCTTCTCTGTATGCTCTTCTCTCTCTCTCTCTCTATCTCTCTCTCTCTCGCTCTCTCTCTCTCTCTCTATCTCTCTCTCTCTCTCTCTCTCTCTCTCTCTCTCTCTCTCTCTCGCTCTCTCTCTCTCTCACCTCTCTCTCGCCATCCAACTAGAGCGCTGTCTCTTCCTGGCATGGAGGGAGAGGAGGGAAGAAGGTAAAGAAAGAGAGAGTGAGAACGAGAGAATGACATAAGAACACGAGTACGACATGGTCAGCATCACCTTGTCAGCTTGTACGCCTTCGTTCAACAGAATCACCACAAAGGATTCAAAAGGACATTTTGTTATTCCTTGGCCAATTTTTAACTTCATCTCTTGGTGATTTTGGATGTTTGATATTACCTATTTTTTTAAGCATTTTAATTATATCATACTGGAGTTCACAATTGATATAAGGAGGACGGAAAGCAAAGTAGATGTGCCATGTGCTACCCTACCTATTCTACTGTAGGGTCCTGTGGGTAAACAAGTCTACTGACAGAGCACGCTGGTTTTCATGCTGCGTAGGTGAGTAGGTCTACACTGGTCAATTGAAATATTACTGTATAGGGCAAATGCTATTGAGTTCAAAGCCATTTCTCAATTTCAAAGTTAATATTGTTAATTTATTGTATGAAGTTATAGTTAGTTTTTATTTGTGCTAAATTATTTTATGGAGGAAAACCTGCTGTGGGTTATTGCCTGTTTTTTAATCAAATGAATAATATAGAAACCTGACCATTGCAGACAATAAAATATATGTTTGTGTATATACCACCGCTATAATAAACATAACATTTTGTGATCATCTAAATTATATACATAAAATATATATTTGCAGCCAAACAGATATAAGACCACCAAATTATGTTAATAATTCATTACTTGAAATTAACAACAAATGAGTGCATTGAGTTTACACAAAAATACAAAATGTCAAAGGAAACAATGAATAACAAAAACTAATCTGAAAAGTTATGAACATTAATTAAAATGGAATCAAGTTCAAATTGAATTGATGACATGCAGCTGAACACAGAAGGTGACATACTGTTCTTGACACAAATAAATAGCGAAGCAATTAAGCAACATTATATTTTGATTGCAAATAATAAAATCTTACAAAATAATATTACAAAAAGAAAGACTTCAACACATCTTTGGGAGTATATTTGTTCCATTGTATATTTTTAGATTAAACTTTTCTATGATCTAAATGTTTATATTCAAAGCTCACCTTGCCTGCTCTCTGTCGCTCTCTCAAAAATGTGTAGATTTATATGTCATTTTTTATCAATGATCTACACAGAATACTCTGGAATGTCAGTGAAAAAAAATAAGAAAAATTAAACACTAATATATCTTGATTAGATAAGTATTCACCCCCCTGAGTCAATACATGTTAGAAACACCTTTGGCAGTGATTACAGCTGTGAGTATTCTTGGGTAAGTCTCTAAGAGCTATGCACACCTGGATTGTGCAATATTCTGCCATTATTATTTAAAAAAATCTTCAAACTCTGTCGAGGTGTTGGGGATCACGGCTAGACAGCAATTTTCATGCAGATTTAAGTCAGAACTATAACTTCACCACTCAGGAACATTCACTGTCTTCCCAGTAAGCAACTCCAGTGTAGCTTTGGCCTTGTGTTTTAGGTTATTGTCCTGCTGAAAGGTGAATTTGTCTCCCAGTGTCTGTTGGAAAGCAGACTGAACCAGGTTTTTCTCTAGGGTTTTGCCTGTGCTTAGCTCTATTCCGTTTCTTTTTATCCTGAAAAACTCCCCAGTCTTTGCTGATGTTAAGCACACCCATGCCGTGATGCAGCCACCACCATCCTTGAAAATAAAGAGGCAGGTACTGAGTGATGTGTTGGATTTGCCCCACACATAAGGCTTTGCATAAGGAGAAGAGTCTGTTGAAAAATCCATTCATGAATCATGAATCATCTGAGTCTTACAGAAGCAGAACTTATAAGACAACTGTGAACTTCCTTGAAATTACGAAAACACACACGCAGTATGATACCAAACAATGGTCAACCATGACAACCATGTTCAGCATTGCAGCCAGTCATCAGCTCATGAGAGGGCCGGGGATACTATATTTTGCTTTGATGCAGATTATATATGGAAGAATATATCATTTTAATTTCCTAATTAATTACGAAATCTAAATCTAGCTTTATTTTTTATTCACCACTTCCAGAAGAAGAATTATCACTGAATTATCACAGTGAATGACTGTAATGTTTGTTTATGTGTCAATTAATCCCATAAGGGATGGGTTGTCAACTGGTGATTTGGCAAGAAAATAAAATTCATTCCAGTATTTGACCCACTAAATCATGTAAAACAAATGTGTCTTGTCTTTTTAGTTCTACAGGTTCTTTGAAAACCGTCCAATCTTTATGCACCTGGGACAATGTGGATTGTACGGACAGTTTGATTCATATCCGAAAAGACAGACAGACAGACTGGGGGACTAATCAACAGTGTCGGCCGATGGTGACTCATTCAAAGACAACGTACTTGGCTATTCCTCAGGATGTACTATGGGAAAAAGACGTCTAGACTACTACACTTAAAGCTATACCAACCAGTCTGCTGTGGAGCTCCAGGAAGACCCAGAGACGCCTCAGTCACGCCACTAGTAAACACTGACACTTGATTATTGATGTGAGCATCATCTGCCCAGCCACTGTAGATTGGACACAGCCTCTTGAGTGGGGCCATGAATGCAAGATCACACTCTCTCTTTTTGTCCTTCTCTCTCTCTCACACACACACAAACTCACACACACACTCGCTCTCTCTCTCAAACACACAAACGCACACACACACACTCGCTCTCTCTCTCACACACACAACAGCCCTCAGAATGAGAGGTGACAATAAGACTGGACTGAGCCAAACCCGAGGGCATCAGCCTTAGCTTCAACACCAACCCCCCATGTCCCCTGACCCCTGACCCCTGAAAACCCAGGACCCAGACAGGCCATCACAGACATCCCTGGACTGGCTAATAAGAGCAGTAGACAACCCTTCGTCCAGGAGGACCAGGGGACTAACCAGCATAATAAGGGAATATTAGCTGGAGTAGTAGCAGAGGCTCAGCCAGGGCTGAGAGGTCTGTGGAGGTCTATAGGGGTCGAGCAGCAGCAGCTAGTGGCCTAGACACCATACTGGGTGAGAGAGACAGAACAGCAGAAGGGGAGAGGGGTGCAGCAGCGGGGTGCCCTCCCACAGGTACCATGATGGAGAAACTGAACCCCCCTTCTGCCTCCCCCCCCTCTGACCCCCTATCGGAGTCTGAACGACTGAGCCCTCAGCAGGCCCCCTCACCGGCTTCACTGGACGCTAGCAGCCCACTGCCGATGAATGAACCAGGGAGTCCGGGAGACAGGTTTGTCCCAACTGGCCCCCCTGCCTCCCCTCCTCCACCTCCAGAGCCCCCTACCAAGTTGCTCGACCACCCTGCCGCCACCAACATCGAACCTGAGCCACCTGTCGCCATGGAAACAAACAACGCCAAGGGAGGAGGTCTCATTCATTCCTCTCCGACAGCCCCCTCCTCCTCTCCGCCTCCCCTTCTCCCTGCCCCAGTGTCTACATCCACTACCCCTGCCGTCCCCCCCCCATCCTCCTCCTCCTCTTCTTCCTCCTTTTCCTCCATTGCCCCCATCCCTCCCCACATCCCTGTTATTAGTCTGGGACACAGTAAACCCCCCCACCCCCTCTCCCTCCCCAGTAACACCCCTCTTACCACCCTGCACCCCATCCCCACCCACCCCTACCACCATGACCCCCACCACCACGGGGGCATTCGCCTCACCCAGCTCACCTCCCTGTCAGGGACCAGACCAGGGGCCCTAGCGACCCCCTCTCAGGGCCCCCTGCTGCCCCACCAGTACCTGCCATCACACCATTTCTTCAACAGGTGATAGGGAAATGTTTCATATTCATATTATACTGCATTATCCAGTGGAGGCTGCTGAGGAGAGGACGGCTCATAATAATGGCTGGAATGGAGTCAATGGAATGGTATCAAACACATCAAACACGTGGTTTCAATGTGTTTGATGCCATTCCATTTACTCCATTCCAGCCATTATTATGAGCCGTCCTCCCCTCAGCAGCCTCCACTTGCATTATCAAATTTCATGTTGCGACTGGCTTTCTGATACTGTATGGCCAACTGTTTCACTATAACTGACAGTTTCACTACTACAACTGACAGTTTATATCATAGATTTCTCTTTCTGTTTTTCCTAACCCGTAATCCTAACCTCTTACTAAACTAGAACTACGGTACTTCCCCATAGAGCCCAATTTCCAACAATCACTATGATGAAATATCCTTCTTCTTCATTTTCAGCAGGAACATTGTTCTATTTTAGCAGCATGTCTCTGCCAGTGTCAGCTGGTTACAAACCCTAATGAGACATAGCCTGCTGACAGCCTGCATACTCAATCAACATCCCAAACATAATTACCATACAGATAGCTTTGGTCGCATTCTCTCCCTCAGTCAATTTGAAACGTTTTTGCCATTTGAAAACCATTTAACAATTTGAAAACCATTTAAAATATGATTACTCCCCTGAATAGCATGGTTTGTACTTTTAAAGTTGTATTATTTTATTGCTTGGATAATTGTATTTGTTATCTTTCATTTCCAATGCACCCTCTCTCACATTCCTCCCTCTTTGGAAGTCACTTTAATAATATGTAATAATGTTTACATACTGTTTTACTCATTTCATTTGTATATACTGTATTCTAGTCAAGTCCACCCTATTCAACTAATGCTGTACATATACTATTCTTCAGATATACTATATATTCTATCCACATACTGTCCATATTGTCTATACATCCCATCACATCTATATATATATATATACAAATATTTATATTCCGGACTCCAACATTGCTTGTCCTAATATTTATATATTTCTTAATTCCAAGATTCATGTGTATTGTGTGTATTGTTAGATACTACTGCACTATTGGAGATAGGAACACAAGCATTTTGCTACACCCGCAATAACATCTGCTAAATATGTGTATGCCACCAATAAATTTGATTTGATTTGATTTGATTCTCTCCTTCTCTCTCTCAGTTCTCATCTTGGTCCCTCTGGTAACTATGGAATCTTTACCAGTAGAAGCATCAAGAGACGGCCCTCCTCACACTATGAGTTAGATCTCAATGATGGTAAATAGAAGCTATCCTGGTGTGACTGTCCATGGACTACTGATCAAAACCAGCATATGATAAATTAATCAGATACAGTATATGTAGTGTATGTATGTACATATTCACCACAGGAGGCTACTGAGGGGAGGACGGCTCATAATAATGGTCGGAACAGAGCAAATGGAATTGCATCCTGGAAACCATGTATTTGATGTATATGATACCACTCCACTGATTCTGCTCCAGTCATTACCACGAGCCCATCCTCCCCAATTAAGGTGCCACCAACCTCCTGTGATATACACTGAGTATACCAAACATTAGGAACACCTTCCTAATATTAAGTTGCGTGTATGTACATGTGCATACTGGTACGTATGTGTATTTAATGAACTGTGCCTGTGTATCCTCATCCAGTGGGCCCTCCTCAGAAGCTGGCGAGGCGTGTGTTCACCAACAGCCGGGAGCGCTGGCGCCAGCAGAACGTCAACGGGGCCTTCTCAGACCTCCGCAGGCTCATCCCCACCCACCCTCCGGACAAGAAGCTCTCCAAGAATGAGATCCTCCGCCTTGCCATGAAGTACATCGACTTCCTTGTCACCCTGCTCAACGACCAGTCCCAAGACAAAGCCAGGGGCTCGCCTGATGTGGAGACCCAGGATGAGAGGGCCGAAGCTGGGTTGAATAACAAGGATATGCACCCACTTTTCCAGGGTGACACTCCCTCTTCAACTATAGCCCACCACGACAGAGGAAACTCCACAGACTCATCGGTCATCGTCTTGGCAACTTCCCCGACCTCCAGTTGCTATAGCAACACAGACAGCGAGGAGAGCCTGGGGGGCGGGACTAAGAGCTCAATGGTGGTGCCGCGGGGCATTCCGGAAAAGGTCAAAGCTCAGATTCGGACTGTGGTGACACTCGTCAGCGACCAGCGGTGACATGACACGTGACGTCACAAAGTGGACAAAATGGAATATTTGGTGGTAAATCGTAACCGGCAAACTGACATAAAGGACAAAAATGTGCAGTATACTTACTACTCTACCAGACAAGCGATCTTTGACACTTTTGGAATTGATATAGTTCTTTCAATGACATGGTGTATCTGCAAGGTCAGTTCTGAGTTCTTGCAGTAGTTTGTGGTCGTTTTTGACCGCCCCTCTGTTTGGAATTTGTTTCCTGCAGTGTGGGACTGAGGCTTTCTGGGTAACGTAAGCTGTTTCATCAGAACTGAGGCTTCTATAGGGCTACCTGGGAAATGTAGGCTTGACTGTTTGTACATGCAGTCAGCACAGTGTCAGTTGCCCTAAAACATCTGAAGGAGCCATGTTGACCTCATGGCTTTGCTTCCTACAGTTTGAGACATCAAAAACATAAACGACGGTAACCTTCAGCCAGTAGCTTATGTGGCAGTTTTTGAAGTTTCCTATTTCCTTTCTTTAGTCTGATGGGAGGGGAACATGGTCCCACCCTCCCTCCCTTAGAGGAGAAATTGTGACACACTTGTCACAAATGACACCCTATTTCCCATTTAGTGCACTACTGGTCAAAAGTAGTGCACTATGTAGGGAATAGGGTGCCATTTGGGACACACACTGCTAGCTGACTGAAATAAAGAGTGTTTTAGTTCTCTCTTCCTTATTCAACATCCTCTTATTGCACTCCAGAAAACATGCAGCTCTTTTATCAGCACAATTTCTCAACCCATCGAATTGTTTTGCTGCTGTGTCCAGTTTGAGAAACAGACAGTGTAGTCGCTGCCAAGAGTATTGTTGTGTGAAGGGGTGAAGATGTGTTTTGGTGTAAAGACAATCAACGTAGCTTATTTTATGGCTGGTTCGTGATTCTATAAAAAGTGTGTTGTGAAAAAGTGCACATAAGAGCATTTTGTATTTTTATTGATCTAATATGAATGAATGAATGAATGAATATGAACCCTAACTTCATGTCCACATCCCAGCTCACAGCCCAACCCAAGCCATAACCCTAACCCTACTCACTGTGCACAGACAATTCAACATCTATTCCATGTTGGAAACAACATTGATTCAACCAGTGTGTGCACATCCCAGCTCAACCCTAAACGTAACCCTAGCCATAACCCTACCCCTAGCCCTAACTCTAATCCTATAATACCACTGAGAGAATGCCTTGTCTGCACTCAATCAGTCATCCAGTCCATTACATTTAGGAAATGGGCTTCGTTCAATACATGGTTTCAATCATTCTGTTTATGGTTGTTTGTTTGCGTTGGTTAGTTACATGACAGATTTATAACCATGAGAGGAGAGAGAGAGAGAGAGAGAGAGAGAGAGAGAGAGAGAGAGAGAGAGAGAGAGAGAGAGAGAGAGAGATGAGAGAGAGAGAGAGAGAGAGAGTGCTAGAGAGAGTTAGATAGAGATAGATATCCGATATTAGCTCTAGATCTCAGAGAGAGAGAGAGAGAGAGAGAGCATTAAGAACAAAACAGTAATCAAAGTACCGGTTCTGAAAAAGAAAGGTGGAAAAACGTTCCCTGCTGATGTCCCCAAGCCGGACATAGCTGACCCATGACAGTACAGTGAGAATCCCGGATGTGGAAAAAAAATTGGTGGCGTGCGTTGCTTTGCTTTAACCTCCAGTCCACTATGGCCAACGTGTCCATTTTTTCCCTTCAGTGCAGCTGCAAATGGGGGTGGAGATGGAGGCAGGGGGTGGAGGGTAAGGGGTGGTTGTGGTAGTGGTGGGGGAGTGTAGATATGAAGATAAGTTAGTTGCAGGGTTGCAAGGAGCTCAAGTAGGTCTTGGTTTGAGCGGGTGAGATGAGCGAGGTTAAGGTTGGTTTTGGGGGATTGAGGGGGAAGGTTGGGGGTGTTGGAGGGGTGTTGTGGTGTTGTGGAGAGACGGCACATGGCCTGCCCTGTGGTGGTTGGCGTTAGGGCTGGGCGGTAAACTGTGTATTGATGCATGGACTGGTTTGGATTTTTACTTTACTTCACATATCGGTATTTCAATGTTTGGTTTGTTAAATGTAATATAAATGTAATAACTGAGTGATGAAACTCGAAAAATGATGGCAACCGTCCGTTCTTACCACCAGTAAGAGAGAGTTATAACAGTTGAGAACAGCAAGAGCTTCTGGTGTGTTTCCTTGCCATGAATCTTGCCTGTGAGGTAATGCTGGTGCCAAAAGCACCCTAGAAATCGGCACAATGCCCCTTATGGCGAAAGTAAGAACTGCCATTGAATCCATTGAAAATACATGGTCTAACCACGTTTACATCCACAGTTTTTATGCGAGTAAAACCATACCACATAAAATCATGACAGCTGTGATGGAAACAGGAAGTTTCGGTACAATCAGAAGAGAAAGCCACCTAAATGTATTTGTTGCCACCCTACCTACGGTCATGCACTACTCATAAAGCATATTTAGAACTTTTATTATTAAAAAACATAAAATACTGTCAAATACCAAAATAAGAAAAATATAGTGATATGATATTTTGGCAATATCGCCCAGCCCTAGTCGGTGTCCACCCCTTCCCCCGGTTGGCTGCGTGTCTCTAGCTATCAGGTGGCCAGGAAATGGCTCTACAGTTAGTGCTGGCTCATCTACAGCCATGGAGTTTCCTGATGGGGATACTGTGGTGGCAACCAACCACTACATGCATAGAAGAGAGGAGCGAGGGAAGGGCAAAAAAAGAGGCGGAAATAAGAGAAAAACAGCCACAAGGGCCCTCGTTCCCTCTCTCCCTTTCTCTCTCTCAGACCCCCGACCACACCCGGTCGTTCTGACACAACAGGAAGGACTGGTTACATAACCCTATTGCCTCTGCCTCTAGCCTCCATCTCTGACATGCCAGCCTGGCCCTGGATCCCTCAACGCCCAACAGTGGTGAACTCCACAGCTCCAGGGCTGGTTCCTTCCGCGATGCCCAACATTGTGCGCTCTGCGGCTCCAGGGCTGGCTCCCTGTAGATGGGGGTGGTTGTAAGCATCTGCCTGCGGATCCAAAGGGCCAAAAGTTGCATGTTCGAATCCAGTGATATAAAGTTGCTTTTGATATTTTGTTTTAAGCCTATGCCAAACAATCCTTACATTAACCATTCGGAGTTAATGCCTAAACTTAACCTTAAACACTTCGAAATTTGACGTTTGAGATGAACGTCTAATTCTGGCGTGAGCGTGTAGGGTGAACTACGGAGGCCCCTGAGGATCATATCTGACACAGAGGAGGGGTGGTTGGTGTGGTAGGGGGTGGTGTCCTAGACCTGCTCTATCCAGTCCTACTGATACAAGAGGCCTGGAGGCTGATGCAAAGCAGTCTGGGACATAGAGATAATAGCCCCTTGCCTCTGCCTCCCCTCTAGGTTTTATGACCTATTGCAGGAGCGACTTTGGCAAACCCTGCCTTGTGGAACCATGAAGCCATGTTCCATCTGATTGAGGCAAATGATGACTTCAAACCCAACTGGGTGGTATTATCATGCAATGTGTTTTATTAGCATTAATAAAAACATGAACTATATGCACAATAGTAGTTTAACATTTAAAGAAACCATGTTGAATAAAATGTGTATAATAATGACGGAGCACATGTAAGTTATTGAACAAGTCATAATTGTAACAGCTGGAAAAGAAATAGAACAAATGTAGTCAATGAGAACCGGTATTTGCCGCAAAACAACTTAGACATCAGTATGTTGTACAATGTTACCAACATTATATTCACAGATATACAGTATACAATGTTAACAACATTATATTCACAGATATACAGTATTCAATGTTAACAATATTATATTTAAGCAATAATGCCCGGGGGGGTGTGGGATATGGCCAATATACCACGGCTAAGGGCTGTTCTTAAGCACGACGCAACACGGAGTGCCTGGAAACAGCCCTTAGTCGTGGTATATTGGCCATATATCACAAACCCCCGAGGTGTCTTATTGCTATTATAAACTGGTTACCAACATAATTAGAGAAGTTAAAAAGAAATGTTTTGTCATACCCATGGTATACTTTCTGATATACCACGGCTGTAAGCAAATCAGCATTCAGGGCTCGACCCACCCAGTTAATAATCACAAATATACAATGTCTGCACAGTCACAGGCAATCACCTGTGGATATATATCATAGGTAGAAACCTATCAAATAATCTCTCATAGGATGCTGTACATCCATATCGACTTGTGTGGATCTGACTCTCTCTCACTCGGTTTTCAACACTTTGTCAAAGATTTCTCCCTCTATTCTCCCTGTGGCGTCTGTCTCTTCTGCTGAGTTTTTCTTCTTGCTAAATCTCCTTCTCCCCACCTCAGTAAACACAGATCCAGCAGTGGCCCCTATAGCTCCCCCTATGGGCCCTCCAAAGAACACGCCCACCACCCCACCCAGCAGCGCACCCCCAGCCGTCAGCTTGGGGACCTTACTCGCCCCCGCACCCACCTTCTCCCACACCGAGCGAAGGAATGAGGAAGACGGGGCAGAGGAGGACCAGAGAGACGGAAGATTCTCCAGTTTAATGGAGCTCACACTCTTCGCCCCAGCTCCCATTTTATCCCAGACGGAACGCGAGAACGAAGCAGATGGGGTAATGGAGGAGAGAGAAGGAAGAGAGGAAAGAGAGGGAAGATTCTCAAACTTCATGGCATCCAATGTCTTCGCTCGTGCTCCTCCCACTTTATCCCAGACGGAACGCATGAACGAGGGAGACAAGAGAGAGGACGAGAGCAAGGGAAGACTCTCCAATTCCAGGGGGCTCACACTCTTCTCCGCCTCCTCTCTCGTTCTCTCCATCTCCTCCTCTTCCACCTCTTCCTCTGTCTCTCCCAAGGGCTGCATGGAGTAGGAATGAAGCGCTCGTCTCTCCACCTCTTCTCCTCTTCCTCTCCTCTCCCTTGCTATCTCCTTCTGTCTCTCTCTCACCCTATCCTCCGCCTCCTGGAAGAGGGGACAGGAGAAACACTCTCCTCCTCCCTCTCTCACAGTCTGCTCCACCTTCTCCAGTAACTCCCTCACACTCCTCCTCTTCCTCTCCTCCTCCTCTTCTCCTCCACTCCCTCTCTCCATCACATGATACCGATCCCCACATCGTTCAACCAACTCCAACAAATCTCTCCTCTGGCTCGAAATATACTTCTCCACTCCTTCCACTCCCCCCTTTCCCCTCTCCTTCAACCGATCGGAGTGAGTGAAGAGGACCAGGGTGTGTGTACGGACCGCCCCGGGGCCAAAGACTTTCTCCAGGGCCCCTAGAGCCTGTAGCTCTGCCTGGGCTGGTTGGTCCACGGGGACACAGAGGATGAAGGCGTGGGGGCCAGGGGCCGAGAGGGCCACACAGGAGGACAGCTGGGAACGGACCACGTCTGGAGGGTGCTCGGAGCGGAACCAGTCTGGAGTGTCCACCACTGCCACCTGCAGGGAGGATAAAGAAGAAGATGATTTGTCGAGGTCTGAAATGACTGGCATGTAGCTCGTCATTTGAGGTCCCTACTACATTGATTCTACTGATGCAAAAGGTCAACTTGACCCAACCATTTAGTGTCAAAGTGTTTACAGTCATTAACACTATAACATTATTTGAAACAAGACTTGATGGGATTCAGTTTGAAACAAGTCAAACTGCAGATCTCAATAGAATTCAACAGACCTCAATAGACCTCATATTATTCAATGATTAAGAAAATAGAAACCCAATAAAGCTGTAATAATGATTAATCAATCACTAACCCGTCTCCCGGCAACGAGGGCTCTCCTCTTCTGACAGTCCTGAGTGACGGCTGTGGTAATGTCTGGTCGAGACACAAACTCCTCCCGACCGAGTATGATATTACCTGCTGCACTCTTCCCTGACCCTGACCTACCCAGCAGAACCACACGCAACTCTGACTGGGAGGAGGAGGAGGAGGTGTAGGAGGAGGAGGAGGAGGGGGAGGGTAAAGGAGAGGATGGAAGGGGGAAGGAGGGTGGCTCTGGAGTTCTAGACACCAGTGAAGAGGCGGAAGGTGAGATACGTAAAGTGGAGGTTAAAGTGGAGGATGAAGGAGGGGAGGTGGAGGGAGAAGCCTCAGGAGTTCTAGAAACAGGGGAGGAAGATTTGGAAGAGGAGGAAGGAGAGGAGGTTGTCGTCTCTCCGAAGCTGTTGATTCTGTGGTAGACTGACAAGGACAGACATTATGCTTGGATCATTCTCACATTTAGATGAAAAGGGAAACAGTTAAAGAACACCACAACTGATATCGTTGTGTTACACTAAGAAATATGTGACTTACGGGTATTGACAACTTTCTGGGTTGGTTTTGCTTTGACTTCGGACATCCGTGAGAGTGTAGCGCCCTCTAGAGACAAAAAAAGACAATTACAACAGCGGAACATACAGTCTAGTGTAACAACCGTGCATTACCACACATATGCCCTTTCAATGTCATAGTAGTTTGTTTGAGCATGGTTTGAGTAATGGACATATATAGTAAAAATACTGCAGTCCATACCGAAGCGTGACTAGTGGGCAGTTTCCACACAAAATGGGTCTTTACCTTCAGTCAGATGGAAACTGGGGATCCTCGTGAACAGTGCTGGACCACCATTCTGGGGCTCTGTTGGATGCTGCTGTGGCTCTGGTGTTGGCGTTGAACGAAGACAGTTAACCAAGGGTTTCACAGTCACTCTCTCTTCCATCTCTTCCCTTCTCTTCTCCGTCTCTTCCCTTCTTCTCCTCTCAATCTCTTCCTCTCTTCTCCTCTCTATAGCAGAGTTAGGCGTACCCTCTCTTTTCTGGCTTCCCCAATATCTGCGTGTCTCTGTGTTTCTGACGTGTCTTGATTCCAGCACAGTCTCTCTCTCCTCCACCCCCTACACTTTGTACCTCTCACTCAGTTCCCTCTCTCTCCCCGCTTGTTCTTCCACCTTCTCCCTCAGTTCCCTCTCTATCTCCCTCGCTTGTTTTTTCACCTTCTCCCTCAGTTCCCTCTCTCTCTCCCTCGCTTGTTCTTCCACCTTCTCCTTCAGTTCCCTCTCTCTCTCCCTCGCTTGTTCTTTCACCTTCTCCTTCCGTTCCCTCTCTCTCTCCCTCGCTTGTTCTTCCACCTTCTCCCTCAGTTCCCTCTCTCCCTCCCTCGCTTGTTCTTCCACCTTCTCCCTCAGTTCCCTCTCCCTCGCTTGTTCTTCCACCTTCTCCCTCAGTTCCCTCTCTCTCTCCCTCGCTTGTTCTTCCACCTTCTCCCTCAGTTCCCTCTCTCTCTCCCTCGCTTGTTTTTCCACCTTCTCCCTCAGTTCCCTCTCTCTTCCCTCGCTTGTTCTTCCACCTTCTCCTTCAGTTCCCTCTCTCCCTCCCTCGCTCGTTCTTCTATCTCTCTCTGCAGGGTGTTTTGTCGTATGTAGCATCCTCTGTTCTTTTGTACCATGTTCTCCACCTGCAATAAAGCACAGTACCTCAAATATCAAATACCAACAGGGTGGTTATACGTATTTGCAACATTCCGTTGATATAGTAATAAAGTATTTGAACGTGATGTGTCAATAAAGTAATGTGTCAATAAAGTGGGTGGGTCCTACAAATTGACAGTAGAAGAGGCGACTTCTCCTCCTTCAATGTAAAGCACATTGAGCACATACATCAATTGGATCCATTGTCATCATTACAAGATGTGATGGTTGTCATGGTTACCTTGTCCAACAGCTCTCTGACCTGCTCCCTGTCCTGCGGTCGGCGGTTGTTGATGACGTGGTATTGGCCCCCACACCTGTCAATCACCTCCCTGAGCCCAGGGTCCTCCCCCTCCAGGTACTGTCCCGCCCCCCGGCCCATCAGGTAGTCTCCACAGGTGAATAGCACCAGGGTGTGTTTCAACACCCCCTCCCCAAACACCTCCTCCAGCTCAGCCGGCACCCTGCGCTCCACCTGGGACAATTAGAATGATGGAAATAGATGTTATTTGTAAGGACAATGTGCATCATTACATTTTACATTTACATTTTAGTCATTTAGCAGACGCTCTTATCCAGAGCGACTTACAGTTTAGTGAGTGCATACATTTTCATACATTTAAATCAACAAAAGGAAATAACACAGAACATAGAGACAGTTCAAGACTCACATCACCATAGTAAAACTACATGACAAAACACCAGAGACACAATAACAAAGAAAACAGAACCTCTCTGAACAACCTCTGAGCGATTAGACAACTATTAGACCCACCTCAGTGAACTGGCCGACAGGAACCAGCAGCAGGAAGACGTGTGGCCCTGGGGCCGCCAGCTCCAGTGCCCTCTCTGTCTCCTTCCTCACCCCAGCCTCGATGTGACCCCCGCTCCAGTACCAGCGAGGGGCCTCCACCACAGTTAACCTCCGGCCCTCAGAGGCCCCACGCCTCAGCTGGCAAAGCCTGGCGGAAGAACCAGAGGTGGCGGGAGAGGCAGAGGAGGGCTGGCCCAGGAGGGTGTCTCCTGACAGGGTCTTGCCACAGCCGATGGTCCCTAGGAGGACCAGGCGGAGCTCTGGCTCTGGAGTTCCGGCATGGCTGCCGGGAAGGACCTCACTCATAGCTGAAAGAGAGAGATTGGTTACAGATGCTGAAGAGGTATTACTTACAGTACGCCTGATGGTGAAGTTGATGTTCATTTGCATGAATAAATGACTTTGTTCTCCATACCACTAGTTATCAGCATGTGAATAACATGTAAGGGTGTGTCTCTGTGTGTCGCCGCTGGCTTCTCTCACACATACCCACAGTCTGTCAAACTACCATGATTAACACACCTGAAAGTTCAACTGGAAATGTGGGCTGGGTTGCCTCCTGTCTTAACATCTAATCTAGGTCAGTCATCCTATGACAATTATAACTAAAGATAATCTAGATGAGATATTAAAAATGAATGATTTTGTATTCATGCTTACTACCAGTGAATACCTTCGAAGTTGTGTGTCTGGTGTGTGTATCCATCTTTCCATTGTAATGTGTCTATCAGAAATGCAAAGATTAAAGTTACAGGTGAGGTATTTCAGTGTTCACTGATCTACCTATCTGGTGTCAATCTTTTCCTCCTTCCAATTTCTCTTTCCTTGTGTGTGTGTGCATCATGTGCATGGGTGACCGATTGCCAGCCACACCCCTGCCAGGCCTGTCCAACTACATTCTGTTTAGAACAATGTGTGGAATACTCAAACACACACACAACGTACCCTGCATGCTCACAGTAACAGAACATAAAAAAACAGTACAGCATTTAGGGCTACTTCAGTTAGATAGCGTATCTTGTCAACGGTTAACACTCCTATTCTCCTTCCAGTGAAACTCGAACAGACCTGATCCTGTGTATTATGTGCAGTTTAAACAACCATGTTGTTTGCTGCCTACACATGGCAGTGTGGCATTGCATCAGGTGTTGGTCAAATGAAGACCTCCGTGAGGTGTAGGAGAAACAGCACTGTAGCAACAGCTTCACTTTTACAGCCATCTTGATTTAGATTAGATCATGTTAAATATGAAGAAATTCAACACCTTTAAATACATTATATTCTATGATATGTTTAGTTTTAAGAACCCTCCTGAATGAAATACACAGTACACACATCAACCAACTAAATCTACAGAGGTATCACCCTTACCCAGATATGAGGAGTTTGTTGGAATGGGTTGCTGGGTTCTGTCCGTATCCCAGTACTTCCCTCCTTTCCTTCTCTCAGATGAACCCAATCTCTCTGAACCGACTTGTCTCTCGTACCTCCCTTCTCTCCTATATAACCCTTCTCACCTCTAACAGTCTGTTATGGCAACATCTATCCTTCCTCATCTCCCTCCATCTAAATATAGCCATTTGGATTAAGGAGTGTCAGTCTCAGGGAGTCACCTGTCTACCTAGTACCCGCTCCCTTTCTCTGTCACACGCACGCTGAAACACACCAACATTCTACCAGGCATTCCGTGGAGAGGTGGAGGTGTACACCACGCCCAATGAGAGGGGTACATGGGTGGCGATGGCCTACGACGGAGAGAGTGGGTAACAACCTGTGTGTGGTGGTACTTTATGAGTTAGATTAGTTTTACATGTATGGTTAAATATCTGGGGCGTGTTCAGCAGGACCCAACATTTTGGAATGTTCCGAGAAATAGGCTATGTAGAACAAACATGCCTCTGACATGTAGAACAAGGAATCACATCGGCTCTATTCATGGCATTTCTATGCTATCTGCAACATTCAACAACTTTCGGCAAATGAACGTGGCCCTGGACAATTACAGCCAAGTAGCAAGATACCCACATTCTATGTTTTACAGTTATGGACCCAAACCAGAAGAAGCACTCTAGCGCTTCTGGTATATGCAGTCAGTCCAAAAATATGTGGCTGGTGTGAGAAAAACCGACACTGACAGTCTTATGTGCTGAGTCAGAGCTCAAAAAGAAGAAATGATTCTCTAAATATGCAAAGTATTTCATCTGGAACAACAATTCAAGAACAGTTGATTATTAGAAGCTCTTGCCATGCCAAGTTAGAAAAATGTCAAACAATTGCATGAACAAAACAAGTTTTAATTGAACAAATAAACTAAACTAAATAAATAGTTTATCTTTCAAATTCAATATGAACCCAGATAACTTTGGATACAGGTAAATTAGAGCGCTCATTGCAGATTGGGCCGTTCGCTTAAGCCCCTCTTTTAGAACACATGGCTTCTTCTTCCACCCATCCTTTCTATAGGCCCCAAACAGACAGGAAGGAACATCCGTTCAAATTATGACAACTTCCTGCTTGCTCTGGTTAAGGCTCTTCTCCTCATCAGACAGACTTCACAAACCAGGCATCACATAGGCAATGTTGTCCAGTGTCTTAGCCTAGAAGAAACATAGTAGTAGAATAGTAGAAGAAGTTGGTGGTGAGGGTCCTTCAGTTACCATAGAATCATTTGACAGCTACTGAATGCCAGGATCTAGTGTGTGTGTGTGTGTAACAGCCTCACCAGTGTGTGTGAGTGTGAAGGGCAGCTGCGTAGCTCGGGGACCAGAGAGGTGAGACAGGCCAGGGGAGCCAGGGCACACAGTAGAGAGTCCAGTAAAACAGACAGACTACCTGACACTGCCATCATCTCCTAGAGAGAAAGGGGGGGAGAGAAAGGGGGGAGGAGAGAGAAAGAGAGACACAGAAATAAAGGCAGCATCAGGGCGAAAGTGAGCGAGAGAGAAAGAGAGAGTGTTAGAAACAGAGAGACAGATTCATCAAACTATCAGCAATTTCAATCAAACAATGCTTGAATTACATGTCCGTATTCAGTAGCCTTTCAGTGTGTGAGGACAACGAAGCCAACAGTGTTCAACCAGCCCACCTTAGTTCCCTGAAGCCGGTGGCCAATGTGAGACAGGGATTCCCCCAGCAGCTGTAGGTGGGCCGCTGCGTTCACTGGGTCTACCTCAGGCCCTGTCAACATGGGTGAGTCTGTGGTTAGCAGGGGTCACGAGACTGCAACTAGCTGTAGAGGACTCTGCCCTTATCTCGTTCTGCTGGTCATCCATGTACATCCAGAATGATGGCATGGTAGACTCCTCCCTAGTCTGGGAGAGGAGCAGGACAAATAATAGAGGGATGAGTAAGAAGCAGAAAAGATGATCAGTGGTAGTAAATTGACCAAGCACTGCCCTCTGCTGTCCATTTTACACAATAACACCTAGAAGTTGCACTTTTAGACACAGACCTAGGATCAGTACACCCTCCTATATCCTTAACGTTAAGCACTAGTGGGGAAATGCTAGACTGAACTGAACACTGGTCAGTGTCTAGAGGGCAACTTGGTATTCCATTTACTATCTACAGAGAGAGGTCTTAGTCCCTGGGTGAATCTCAATTGTATTTTTGTTGATTCCTTGTATCCTCTCTCCTCGCCTCCTTCTCAACACGCATTGGAGGAGAACATCTGCGGCTGCAAGAAATCAAGGACATAAAATGGAGACTCACCCCACCTATTCACTCACTTCATCAATTCTCTCCCCCTCTGTCATCCATTCGTCTGGTGATTCACAGGTCTGGTGGTCATGATGGGAGACACCATCCAACTCTGGTCCTGCACTGCCATTGGTCCATCTGTGAGGGTGGGTGTGGTCACCTGTAGAGAGTACAGGAAAGGATGCAGCACCTATGAGATTGAGCTGAAATTACAGGGAGAAATGTGCTTCCCAAATGGAACCCTATTCCCTACATAGTGCACTAGTTTTGATCATGGGCTCTGCTCAAAAGTAGTGCAATATTTTTTCACCTTTTATTTAACCAGGTAAGCCAGTTGAGAACAAGTTCTCATTTACAACTGCGTGCGTCCTGGCCAAGATAAAGCAAAGCAGTGCGATAAAAACAACAGAGTTTCATATGGGGTAAAACAAAACATAAAGTCAAAAATACCACAGAAAATATATATACAGTGTGTGCAAATGTAGCAAGTTATGGAGGTAAGGAAATAAATAGGCCATAGTGCAAAATAATTACAATTAGTATTAACACTGGAATGATAGATGTGCAAGAGATGATGTGCAAATAGAGATACTGGGGTGCAAATGAGCAAAATAAATAACAATATGGGGATGAGGTAGTTGGATGGGCTAATTACAGATGGGCTGTGTACAGGTGCAGTGATCTGTAAGCTGCTCTGACAACTGATGCTTAAAGTTAGTGAGGGAGATAAGAGTCTCCAGCTTCAGAGATTTTTGCAGTTCTTTGCAGTTCGTTCCAGTCATTGGCAGCAGAGAACTGGAAGGAATGGCGGCCAAAGAAGGTGTTGGCTTTCGGGATGACCAGTGAGATATACCTGCTGGAGTGCATACTACAGGTGGGTGTTGCTATGGTAACCAATGAGCTAAGATAAGGCGGAGATTTGCCTAGCAGTGATTTATAGATGGCCTGGAGCCAGTGGGTTTGGCGACGAATATGTAGTGAGGACCAGCCAACAAGAGCGTACATGTCACAGTGGTGGGTAGTATATGGGGCTTTGGTGACAAAACGGATGGCACTGTGATAGACTACATCCAATTTGCTGAGTAGAGTGTTGGAGGCTATTTTGTAAATGACATCGCCGAAGTCAAGGATCGGTAGGATAGTCAGTTTTACGAGGGCATGTTTGGCAGCATGAGTGAAGGAGGCTTTGTTGCGAAATAGGAAGCCGATTCTAGATTTAACTTTGGATTGGAGATGCTTAATGTGAGTCTGGAAGGAGAGTTTACAGTCTAACCAGACACCTAGGAATTTGTAGTTGTCCACATACTCTAGGTCAGACCCGTCGAGAGTAGTGATTCTAGTCGGGTGGGCGGGTGACAGCAGCGTTCGATTGAAGAGCATGCATTTAGTTTTACTAGTGTTTAAGAGCAGTTGGAGGCTACGGAAGGAGTGTTGTATGGCATTGAAGCTCGTTTGGAGGTTTGTTAACAGTGTCCAATGAAGGGCCAGATGTATACAAAATTGTGTCGTCTGCGTAGAGGTGGATTTGAGATTCACCAGCAGCAAGAGTGACATCATTGATATACACGGAGAAAAGAGTCGGCCCAAGAATTGAACCCTGTGGCACCCCCATAGAAACTGCCATAGGTCCAGACAACAGGCCCTCATCTGAGAAGTAGTTGGTGAACCAGGCAAGGCAGTCATTTGAGAAACCGACGCAGGCAATAAGGCAGTGATCGCTGAGTCGGCCCAAGAATTGAACCCTGTGGCACCCCCATAGAAACTGCCATAGGTCCAGACAACAGGCCCTCATCTGAGAAGTAGTTGGTGAACCAGGCAAGGCAGTCATTTGAGAAAACCGACGCAGGCAATAAGGCAGTGATCGCTGAGTCGGCCCAAGAATTGAACCCTGTGGCACCCCCATAGAAACTGCCATAGGTCCAGACAACAGGCCCTCATCTGAGAAGTAGTTGGTGAACCAGGCAAGGCAGTCATTTGAGAAACCGACGCAGGCAATAAGGCAGTGATCGCTGAGATCCTGGTTGAAGACAGCGGAGGTGTATTTAGAGGGTAAGTTAGTCAGGATGATATCTATGAGGGTGCCCATGTTTACGGATTTAGGGTTGTACCTGGTAGGTTCCTTGATAATTTGTGTGAGATTGAGGGCATCTAGTTTGGATTGTAGGATGGCCGGGGTGTTAAGCATATCCCAGTTTAGGTCACCAAGCAGTACTAATGTACTATGTAGGGAATAAGGTGCCATTGCTCCAAATTCCAAGGTTCCACATTTCATAGTCACTCTCACTATGTAGCGGTGTTCCGAACCTGAATGTCTCCTCTTCTTCTTATATGACTTCTTGTATTTGCATTCTTTGACGACAAGTTGTTCTTCATCCTCCACTAGGTCATCATCATCATCCTCTCTCAGGAAATCTTTGTAGGATCTTTTCTTCTCTCTCTGACTGCGGCCGGTCACAAGGCCCACCTCTCCCTCCATATTCTACACCTGGGAAAAAGAGGCAGTAATATAGACATTAAAATCTATGCACATTACATGATAGGTCTATTTCATAGGCTACACATAATACAATGTATAGGCTAAAATATACCGAATAGCCTTGCCCTGACACAACAATAGGCTACTATTGCAAAGAACCTGCTTGGACTCACTGGCAAGAATATGCATTTGAATCTCCTAAAAACGTGCATTCTACCACTTCTAAACAAACATTAGTCTGCCTACCTGCCCCGCACAAATGTAAACGCACTACGGAGGCGGCTATGTTGCTCAACAGCTCGCGGTATTGTCGGGTATGAAATAGCTATTTGTGCTTTTCAACAATGAATTGGGAGCAGATCAAGAGAGCTCAATTTTGGCGTTCCGATGTGTCGTTCTCTAAAGAAAGAGAAAGAACTGATGGACCATCTCCAGACTTGTCGCCATCTTTGAAGAGTTCAAAGTTTGCTGCGCTAACAAGCGCTGCAAAACGCACACAGTGGGTGGAGGCGCGTGGTTTACGTAAAATGAGCCATTGGCCTATACTTTTCACAAGGTAACAAAACCAGTATTATTTGTGAAAGTATTATTTGCAAAACATTGCAATGTATGTTACAATTTTGCCGTGTGATAATAATCATAGGTTTTTACTTACAGACTATCAGGCTAGCCTACTCTACTCAATTTATGGGTGATAAATCGTTGCTCCATAATTTCCTGAACTTGAAGTCACCTTTGCTGGCTGGACGATTTAAAAACCATTGGAATGCGAGTCCCTGTTGGTACAAATTCCGCGGACTCATGTTTAGGAAATGGTTGACTCGTTCTCACCCCATTTAACCCCCCCTTCGCTCACGTCCACATAGTCGCTGAATCACGGTAAGGGTTTCAAGCAATATTCTTATCGCTGATTGTGCTTCGGCATGAAAATCACGTCCTAAACCTTTATGACCAATCATTTTGTTGCTACAATTTGGCGTACCAGTTATACGCAATCTATATATTTGGCTGCATTGTTGCAGACTTGCAGATTGCAACAAAGTTACAGTTATGGATTATTCTACATTAAATCAATTAATCTTTAAACCAAATCTTATTGCATCAAAATCGAATAATTATACCCTTATAATGCATAACCATATTAACAATATCACTCATATATGAATCATCTACTGATATTAGACCTAAGAGACTGAATTAAATAGTAATAGTTGTTTACTTCTCAGTGTGATACATCATTGCCAAATTGCCACTGCCATTGATTGAGTGCTTTGTTGTGACAGAGAGAGGGAGGTTGAACTTGGCAGTCAGAGATAAGTCAAACAGCATTGCATCACACTGTGTGTACAGAGACAGCGGAGAGTATTTAGGTTACACTGTTAACAATTAAACCAACAGTTGTCTATTAATCTTTCTTTACCCATTTTAATTGAATGTTTCATTTTATTTTATTTCATTTTATTTAACCTTTATTTAACCAGGTAAGCCAGTTGAGAACAAGTTCTCATTTACAACTGCGACCTGGCCAAGATAAAGCAAAGCAGTGCGATAAAAACAACACAGAGTTACATATGGGGTAAACAAAACATAAAGTCAAAAATACAACAGAAAATATATATACAGTGTGTGCGAATGTAGTAAATTATGGAGGTAAGGCAATAAATAGGCCATAGTGCAAAATAGTTAAAATTTCGTATTAACACTGGAATGATAGATGTGCAAAAGATGATGTGCAAATAGAGATACTGGGGTGCAAATCAGCAAAATAAATAACAATATGGGGATGAGGTAGTTGGATGGGCTAATTACAGATGGGCTGTGTACAGGTGCAGTGATCGGTAAGCTGCTCTGACAACTGACGCCTAAAGTTAGTGAGGGAGATAAGAGTCTCCAGCTTCAGAGATTTTTAAAGTTCGTTCCAGTCATTGGCAGCAGAGAACTGGAAGGAATGGCGGCCAAAGGAGGTGTTGGCTTTGGGGATGACCAGAGAGATATACCTGCTGGTACAGTACATCCACAGAGACTAAAGTTAGTCTAGTGGAAGGAGGGTGAGTAGTTCAACAAAAAAGTACACAACAAATATAGTACAAGGTGCTATCTAGAACCTTAAAGGGTTCTTCAGCTGTCCCCATAGAGAACTCTTTGGATAACATTTTAGTCATTTAGCAGACGCTCTTATCCAGAGCGACTTACAGTTAGTGAGTGCATACATTTTTTCATACTGGCCCCCCGTGGGAATCGAACCCACAACCCCTGGCATTGCAAGCGCCATGCTCTACCAACTGAGCTACACGGGACCTTTTTTGGTTGCAGGTAGAACCATTTTGGTTCCAAGTAGGCTAGAACCCTTTTGGGTTCCATGTAGATCCCTTTCCACAGAGGATTCTACATGGAACCCAAAGGTGTTCTACCTACAGTGGGGAGAAAAAAGTATTTAGTCAGCCACCAATTGTGCAAGTTCTCCCACTTAAAAAGATGAGAGGCCTGTAATTTTCATCATAGGTACACGTCAACTATGACAGACAAAATGAGAAGAAAAAAAATCCAGAAAATCACATTGTAGGATTTTTTATGAATTTATTTGCAAATTATGGTGGAAAATAAGTATTTGGTCAATAACAAAAGTTTCTCAATACTTTGTTATATACCCTTTGTTGGCAATGACACAGGTCAAACATTTTCTGTAAGTCTTCACAAGGTTTTCACACACTGTTGCTGGTATTTTGGCCCATTCCTCCATGCAGATCTCCTCTAGAGCAGTGATGTTTTGGGGCTGTCGCTGGGCAACACGAACTTTCAACTCCCTCCAAAGATTTTCTATGGGGTTGAGATCTGGAGACTGGCTAGGCCACTCCAGGACCTTGAAATGCTTCTTACGAAGCCACTCCTTCGTTGCCCGGGCGGTGTGTTTGGGATCATTGTCATGCTGAAAGACTCAGCCACGTTTCATCTTCATAGTGTGTTACTGATGGGAGGCTTTGTTACTTTGGTCCCAGCTCTCTGCAGGTCATTCACTAGGTCCCCCCGTGTGGTTCTGGGATTTTTGCTCACCGTTCTTGTGATCATTTTGACCCCACGGGGTGAGATCTTGCGTGGAGCCCCAGATCGAGGGAGATTATCAATGGTCTTGTTTGTCTTCCATTTCCTAATAATTGCTCCCACAGTTGATTTCTTCAAACCAAGCTGCTTACCTATTGCAGATTCAGTCTTCCCAGCCTGGTGCAGGTCTACAATTTTGTTTCTGGTGTCCTTTGACAGCTCTTTGGTCTTGGCCATAGTGGAGTTTGGAGTGTGACTGTTTGAGGTTGTGGACAGGTGTCTTTTATACTGATAACAAGTTCAAACAGGTGCCATTAATACAGGTAACGAGTGGAGGACAGATGAGCCTCTTAAAGAAGAAGTTACAGGTCTGTGAGAGCCAGAAATCTTGCTTGTTTGTAGGTGACCAAATACTTATTTTCCACCATAATTTGCAAATAAATTCATAAAAAATCTCAATTTGTCTGTCATAGTTGACGTGTACCTATGATGAAAATTACAGGCCTCTCTCATCTTTTTAAGTGGGAGAACTTGCACAATTGGTGGCTGACTAAATACTTTTTTCCCCCACTGTATAACCAAAAAGGGTTCTACCTGCAACCAAAAAGGGTTATCCAATGGAGACAGCCAAAGAACCCTTTTGGAACCTTTGTTCTAAGAGTGTATTTGGACAGTGGACTTCAAGTTTACTGTGTCTGTGTCTTTGTCTTATTTTTTTTTATTTTTATTTTTTTTTTTTAGTCATTTAGCAGATGCTCTTATCCAGAGCGACTTACATTAGCAATTAGGGTTAAGTGCCTTGCTCATGGGCACATCGACAGATCTTTCACCTAGTCGGCTCGGGGATTAGAACCAGCGACCTTTCGGTTACTGGCACAACGCTCTTAACCACTAAGCTACCTGCCGCCCTCTTAGCGGCAGGTAGCTTAGTGGAAAGATCTGTCTTATCTTAGCTAGACATTGCGCTTGAACATCAGGAGAGTGCAATGTTGGCGAGTCCGTTATGAAATGTTGCTATGTATCAGCAAAATAATGACGCATAAACCACAATGAGACTTGTACATTGGGTAATTGTTCTTACATCTTCTGCATTTAGTGTTGGGGAATTTACAGTATTTCACGAGTTTATGAAAAAAATGTTAATTCAATCACATGTATTTCATTACTTTAATTTTTTTTACAATAATGGACAATAAACCGTACTTAATTGACCCACAATATAATTTCACCACAAAGAACCAACTAGTGAACTTCAAGTAGTAAACTTTCTTCAGAAAGAACCATCAACCATTAGCTTACTACCACTTCTTGACAAAACACACCATAGTCATGTGATTGTGCTGTGTAGTTTACACTGAGTCTGGATTTCAACACTCCTCTCTGCTCTCCTGAGGGGTGAAGTTACACTGTCATGTTTAGTTAGTGCTAACTTCTGAGCCCTCCTCCTAGCCTACATTCCTGTCACTATTCCAAGTTGTTCCTAAAGTTGCTCTGTCATGATAAGCGCTGGTCCCTCCTCCCTCCAGTTTTCCATTGCTTGAACTGTATTCCTAAAGTTGCCCTGTCATGTTTAGCCCTAGTCCCTCCAAACTCCCCAGTTTTCTATTGCTATTCCCTCACTCCTCCCTCTTCTTTCCAGAGTGGTAAAAAAGTTTGTCACGTTTACTCTTGGTCCCCCCTCCCTACAGTTTTTCATTTCTATTCCTAAAGTTGCCCTGTCATGATAAGTGCTGGTCCCTCCCTCCACAATGTTCCCATAGCTGTTCCTAGCAGAGCTGTTGTTGAGTCAGGCTTACTGCTTCCTGTTTATTGGTCCCTCCTCCCTCCAGTTTTTCATTTCTATTCCTAGTTGCCCTGTCATGATAAGCGCTGGTCCCTCCTCCCTCCAGTTTTCCATTGCTAGTATTCCTAAAGTTGCCTTGTCATGTTTAGTCCTAGTCCCTCCCTCCACAATGTTCCCATAGCTGTTCCATAGCTGTTGTTGAGTCAGGCTTACTGCTTCCTGTTTCTCTCAGCTCAGCTAACCCGTGAAAGAGAGGGAGGGAGGGAGAAGGGTAGGACAGTATAAAGAGAGAGAGAGAGACCGGAGAGAAGGCACACAAAGTAAGGATTGTACACTTAGGGAGAAAGAGAGAGAAGGAAAAAGCAGTCACTCATTGTGGGCATATAAAAACAGAAGGAAAGGACTAACTACTGGTGAACTGGTGAGTGAAAAAAACGAATTTACAACTTGACTTTTGTGCCATTTCTGGGTCATTGCTTTCAGTCATAACTTTCTATAGCGACTGACATTGCAATTCCTGTTTGGGTCATATAGCAACATGCAAGAATCCGATGTGTGATCATTTGAAAGGCTTATTATCAACATATATATCATGTTTATATGGTATACTCTGTTGTAGATCATACTGTATGTGTAACATTGTTAATTATCTCAGTCATATTGATGGTTTTCTCTGTTGTAAATACAGATATGGAGACAGAGAAGAAGATGCAGACACAAGTTGAGCTCACAGACAGGTAAGGCTGTGAACTGACGTTATAGCCAGCAGTATGCATGCTACTGATATCTGTGTTTTGATTTAACTTAGCAGACAGTTAATATACACTGTCTCTGTGCTTCCCTCTACCAAGCGTATGAAGATCTCAGACAAACTAAAATGTTTATTGTGTTAGTAAGTGTCTTAAAAACATGCTGCTTTTGCAAGAGGCAGTGTTTCATGGGGTATTCTTCTGATATGGTGTCTAGTACTCTGACCTACCTTCACCTGCAGTATCTTATCTTAGTTTGCAGTTAGCCTCCATTGATATTACATTTACATTTTAGTCATTTAGCAGACGCTCTTAACCAGAGCGACTTACAGGAGCAATTAGGGTTAAGTGCCTTGCTCAAGGGCACATTAACGTCATTTAGCAGACGCTCTTAGCCAGAGCGACTCACAAATTGGTGCGTTCACCCTATAGCCAGTGGGATAACCACTTTACAATTTGGGGGGGGGGGGGGGGGGGGGGTTAGAAGGAATACTTTATCCTATCCCAGGTATTCCTTAAAGAGGTGGGGTTTCAAATGTCTCCGGAAGGTGGTGAGTGACTCCGCTGTCCTGGCGTCGTGAGGGAGCTTGTTCCACCATTGGGGTGCCAGAGCAGCGAACAGTTTTGACTGGGCTGAGCGGGAGCTGTGCTTCCGCAGAGGAAGGGGAGCCAGCAGGCCAGAGGTGGATGAACGCAATGTCCTCGTTTGGGTGTAGGGACTGATCAGAGCCTGAAGGTACAGAGGTGCCGTTCCCCTCACTGCTCCATAGGCAAGCACCATGGTCTTGTAGCGGATGCGAGCTTCAACTGGAAGCCAGTGGAGTGTGCGGAGGAGGGGGGGTGACGTGAGAGAACTTGGGAAGGTTGAACACCAGACGGGCTGCGGCATTCTGGATGAGTTGTAGGGGTTTAATGGCACAGGCAGGGAGCCCAGCCAACAGCGAGTTGCAGTAGTCCAGACGGGAGATGACAAGTGCCTGGACCAGGACCTGCGCCGCTTCCTGTGTAAGGCAGGGTCGCACTCTCCGAATGTTGTAGAGCATGAACCTGCAGGAGCGGGTCACCGCCTTGATGTTGGCGGAGAACGACAGGGTGTTGTCCAGGGTCACGCCTAGGCTCTTCGCACTCTGGGAGGAGGACACAGCGGAGTTGTCAACCGTGATGGCGAGATCATGGAACGGGCAGTCCTTCCCCGGGAGGAAGAGCAGCTCCGTCTTGCCAGGGTTCAGCTTGAGGTGGTGATCCGTCATCCATACTGATATGTCTGCCAGACATGCAGAGATGCGATTCGCCACCTGGTTATCAGAAGGGGGAAAGGAGAAGATTAGTTGTGTATCGTCAGCGTAGCAATGATAGGAGAGACCATGTGAGGATATGACAGAGCCAAGTGACTTGGTGTATAGGGAGAAAAGGAGAGGGCCCAGAACCGATCCCTGGGGGACACCAGTGGTGAGAGCACGTGGTGCGGAGACAGCTTCCCGCCACGCCACTTGGTAGGAGCGACCGGTCAGGTAGGACGCAATCCAGGAGTGAGCCGCGCCGGAGATGCCCATCTCGGAGAGGGTGGAGAGGAGGATCTGATGGTTCACAGTATCAAAGGCAGCAGACAGGTCTAGAAGGACAAGAGCAGAGGAGAGAGAGTTAGCTTTAGCAGTGCGGAGAGTCTCCGTGACACAGAGAAGAGCAGTCTCAGTTGAATGACCAGTCCTGAAACCTGATTGGTTTGGATCAAGAAGGTCATTCTGAGAGAGATAGCAAGAGAGTTGGCTAAAGACGGCACGCTCAATAGTTTTGGAAAGAAAAGAAAGAAGGGATACTGGTCTGTAGTTGTTGACATCAGTGGGGTCGAGTGTTGGTTTTTTGAGGAGGGGAGCAACTCTCGCTCTCTTGAAGACGGAAGGGACATGGCCAGCGGTCAAGGATGAGTTGATCAGCGAGGTGAGGTAGGGGAGAAGGTCACCGGAGATGGTCTGGAGAAGGGAGGAGGGGATGGGGTCAAGCGGGCAGGTTGTTGGGCGGCCTGCAGTCACAAGTCGCAGGATTTTATCTGGAGAGAGAGGGGAGAAAGAAGTCAAAGCATAGGGTAGGGCAGTGTGAGCAGGACCAGCAGTGTTATTAGACTTAACAAACGAGGATCGGATGTCGTCAACCTTCTTTTCAAAGTGGTTGACGAAGTCATCCACAGAGAGAGAGGAGGGTGGGGGGGGGGGGAGGAGGATTCAGGAGGGAGGAAAAAGTGGCAAAGAGCTTCCTAGGGTTAGAGGCAGATGCTTGGAATTTAGAGTGGTAGAAGGTGGCCTTAGCAGCAGAAACAGATGAAGAAAATGTAGAGAGGAGGGAGTGAAAAGATGCCAGGTCGGTAGGGAGTTTAGTTTTCTTCCATTTCCTCTCCGCTGCCCGGAGCTCTGTTCTGTGAGCTCGCAGTGAGTCATCAAGCCACGGAGCTGGGGGGGAGGACCGAGCCGGCCGGGAGGATAGGGGACACAGAGAGTCAAAGGATGCAGAAAGGGAGGAGAGGAGGGTTGAGGAGGCAGAATCAGGAGATTGGAGGGAGAAGGATTGAGCAGAGGGAAGAGATGATAGGATGGAAGAGGAGAGAGTAGTGGGAGAGAGAGAGCGAAGGTTGCGGCGGCGCATTACCATCTGTGTAGGGGCAGAGTGAGTAGTGTGGGAGGAGAGCGAGAGAGAAAAGGAAACAAAGTAGTGGTCGGAGACTTGGAGGGGAGTTGCAATGAGATTAGTAGAGGAGCAGCATCTAGTGAAGATGAGGTCAAGCGTATTGCCTGCCTTGTGAGTAGGGGGGGACGGTGAGAGGGTGAGGTCAAAAGAGGAGAGGAGTGGAAAGAAGGAGGCAGAGAGAAATGAGTCAAACGTGGACATAGGGAGGTTGAAATCCCCCAAAACTGTGAGGGGTGAGCCATCCTCAGGAAAGGAACTTATCAAGGCGTCAAGCTCGTTGATGAACTCTCCAAGGGAACCTGGAGGGCGATAGATGACAAGGATATTAAGCTTAAATGGGTTAGTGACTGTGACAGCATGGAATTCAAATGAGGAGATAGACAGATGGGTTAGGGGAAAAATTGAGAATGTCCACTTGGGAGAGATGAGGATTCCTGTACCACCACCCCTCTGACCAGATGCTCTCGGGGTATGCGAGAACACATGGTCAGACGAGGAGAGAGCAGTAGGAGTAGCCGTGTTTTCAGTGGTGATCCATGTTTCCGTCAGCGCCAGGAAGTCGAGGGACTGGAGGTTGGCATAGGCTGGGATGAAGTCAGCTTTGTTGGCAGCAGAACGGCAGTTCCAGAGGCTGCCTGCGACCTGGAACTCCAGGTGAGGGGTGCGAGCAGGGACCACCAGGTTGGAGAGGGCAGCAGCCGCGCGGTGTTGTGCGTTGTTTGTGTAGCCTGTGCAGAGACGAGAGAACAGGGATAGGCAGAGGCATAGTTGACAGGCTGTAGCAAATGGCTACAAAAATGCAGAGGAGATCGATTGATAGACATGTGTTGGTTTTCCACCTTTAAGTGATAAGTCACCCAGCTGTTCTATATGTCAGTAGGCATTCCTCCTCTCATCCTTCTGTCAATCATCACTCAGCCTGTAAGATAGTCTTTATCACAGGTTGAATACAGAAGTTAACATGACTCTACCCCATCTCTCTCTCACTTTATCCTCTCTCTTCTCTCTCTCTCTCTCTCTCTCTCTCTCTCTCTCTCATCTCTCCTCTCTCTCTCTCTCTCTCTCTCTCACTTCCTCTCTCTCTCTCTCTCTCTCTCTTCTCTCGTCGGCCTCTCTCTTTCTCCTCTCTCTCACTTCACCTCTCTCTCTATCTTTATCTCTCTCTCTCTCTCTCACACACACTTCCTCTCTATCTCTCTGTTTGTGAACAGCACAGTAATGGTGTAACATTACAGGTTGAATACAGGGGTTCATATGTTTTCCTCTCTCTCTCCCACAGTGATCTGTCGGAGCAGATTAAAGCTGTAACCAAGGACAGCCATGTCAGAGCAGAGAACACTGAACTGATGCTGGCCTACCAGAGAGGAAAAGTCAGTCTGACACAGTACAAGGTAATCAATCAATAATATAACATTAATAAAGATAAAGATTAGTAAAGACAATTCATCTATTAATCTCTTTGTTTAAACCTCTGCTGCATGTTAGTAAATGGAGGTACTAGCATTTACAACACAATTAGTTTTGTGATTCCCTATCTATACTGTAATTCCCATCAGTTGATCTGAATCTTCAGTGTGGACATGCAACATTTTTCTAGCTGGAGCGCCATGCATCATCATGCACCATCATTCTATCATGTACTGCTATAAACTGTTGTGGGTCAAGGTACTGTATTTAGTGTATAACGGAGGTATTGAGACTAACCCTAGTTTATCTCCTTTCCTTATCTCCTTTCCTCAGCTTCTCCTGTGCTCCCTCTATGAGATCTATCAAGCGCTAGAGGAAGCGCTGGACAGCAACTCCAACCACCCGAGTGTCGCGCCTATATACTTCCCCCTGGAACTAGCACGGCTGGAGTCAGTGGAGAGAGACCTAGAGCATTTCTATGGGCAGGACTGGAGAGAGAAGATTGTTGTACCGGCCGCCACTAAAATATATGCCCATAGACTCAGACAGGTGTGTATTAAACTGGACTGGTCTGGACTCTAACCTACTGTGGAAGTTGAATCGTACTATAATGCTTTATAGCAGGGTTTCCCAAACTCGGTCCTGAGGTCCCCCGTGGGTACACATTTTGGTTTTTGCCCTAGCACCACACAGACTCATCATCAACCTTTGATTATTTGAATAAGCTGTGCAGTGCTAGGGCAAAACCCAAAACGTTCACCCAGGGGGGGCCCCAGGACCAAGATTGGGAAACCCTGCCTTATGAAGCCATGTTCTATCTGATGGGGGAAAATGAGGGCTTCAAAAATTCCAATGTGAATTCAGTCGAACGTTAGAAGTTGAGACACTTTTGTAAAATAATTTGGTTACTTGGAATGGGTTTATAATGCATGGTCACCAATGACTGTACTGACTTTCTCTCTCTCTCTTTCTCTCTGTCTCTCTCCCTCTCTCTATTTCTCTCCTTCCCTCCCCAGATCGGCAAAGACAACCCTGAGTACCTAGTGGCCCACGCATACACCCGCTACCTCGGCGACCTATCTGGGGGACAAGTCCTTGGCCGCATTACCCAGAAGTCTCTGGGGCTGAAGGGTGGCGAGGGTCTGTCGTTCTTTTCCTTCCCGGGCGTGAGCAGCCCCAACCTGTTCAAACAGCTGTACAGGAGTAGAATGAACAGCATAGAGCTGGATGAGGACGAGAGAATAGGAATGCTGGAGGAGGCTGTCAGAGCCTTCGAGTTGAACATCCAGGTGAGGAGGAGTGGAGGATGGAGGAAGAGAGGAGTGGAGGATGGAGGAAGAGGAGTGGAGGATGGAGGAAGAGAAGAGAGGAGTGGAGGATGGGGTGGGTTGGGGAGATAGGGGGATGACGAGGAATAGGGAAACGGGACAGCCATGGTTTAGGGGTGTGATATAAGGTTAGATATTAGGGTTGGTGTTCAACCATAAGCTAAATGAGTGCCATTGAGGTTTTTTTAATGAGCTTCTTGGCTCTTCGTACATAAGATGACTGAGTTTTGACTGACGTTGTCTTGCCTCTGTTTGTGATGCAGGTCTTTGATGATCTTCAGAAGATGGTGTCTGTGACAGAGAGGGAAAGTGAGCTCATGCATACGACAACCAGAAATAGATGCACAAGACACGCGTCGACACACTCCAAACTGGCTGATGGTAAGTTACCCACACACACACACACACACACACACACACACACACACACACACACACACACACACACACACACACACACACACACACACACACACACACACACAGACAGACATACACAGACACACACACACACACACACACACACACACACACACACACACACAGACATACACAGACACACACACACACACACACACACACACAGACATACACAGACACACACACACACACACGCAGACATACACAGACACACACACACACGCATAGACACACACACACACACACATATGCATGTGCAGACACACACACACACACACATATGCATGTGCGAACGCACGCACACACAGACACACGCACGGACACACACACTCACACCAATTGAATATGATGATGGTAATACTTAATACATATCCAATTACTGTGTTAGATAACACTAATAATGACTCCTTTCCTCTTTTCTCAGGGGAGAAACTGATGGCTAGATCCCTTCAGATCCAGACCAGTCTGATCAACGCATCACCCCTCTTCAGAATGATGCTGGGGATCTGTGTAGCCCTGGCAACAGTTGGCATGGGAATCTATGCTTTCTAAAGAAGTGCTTTCAGCAAAGTTTTATCCGTCCATAACAGAAGATTACCCTAGACCTAGAAGATGTCCTTAAAAAGGATGAAGGACCCCATATTTTATAATGTTGTTGATCCTAAATAGTTTTCAAATAAGTGTTAAAAAACGAAATACTGTACATAAGTAAGTAATAACTTAGTAATATACATTCTTATAGTTCCTGTGTTGTATGTAGCCACATTAAACTATGAGTTAGGATGTGTATGATATTGATACATGTATATGTGTCTGACTGGCAGTATTACCTCAATGTACACCAGTATAAAATCACTAGTACACTAGTAATAGACTAGTACTCCTGAACATTTTGTGAAATGTCAATGTCAAAAATGAAATCTATCCTTTTTAATTTACAATCTCAAGATTTAGCAATTACTACTGTAATATCTCAACGCATCGAAAAACCAATTTCTGTAAAGTCAGTTATACTGTTTGTGAAATTTGTTGAACAAAAATATTTGATGTATATACTGTATATATATATTTTTTTAAATAAAAAGACTATACCATGTGGGGTATAAAATGCACTGATAATTTCTTCATCGTCTACATGATTTAAAATCAGTTCCTCTATGAACATCGAACCACAGCCTAACAATATAGATTGATCATTTCGTTTTATCTCAATCGGTGTGAATAAGAAATCAAGTAAAATGAATATCCTTTAAAATGAAGAAAACGACAATAAAAGAGGAATACAAAATACAAAATATCAGGCTGTTACAGTTCCGTTGTTGTTGGAGTCTTGTGGGGTTTCTAATCAGAAATGCCAAGGCCCAAATCTAATCAGAAATGCCAAGGCCCAAATCTAATCAGATATGCCAAGGCCCAAATCTAATCAGAAATGCCAAGGCCCAAATCTAATCAGAAATGCCAAGGCCCAAATCTAATCAGAAATGCCAAGGCCCAAATCTAATCAGAAATGCCAAGGCCCAAATCTAATCAGAAATGCCAAGGCCCAAATCTAATCAGAAATGCCAAGGCCCAAATCTAATCAGAAATGCCAAGGCCCAAATCTAATCAGAAATGCCAAGGCCCAAATCTAATCAGAAATGCCAAGGCCCAAATCTAATCAGAAATGCCAAGGCCCAAATCTAATCAGAAATGCCAAGGTCCAAATCTAATCAGAAATGCCAAGGTCCAAATCTAATCAGAAATGCCAAGGCCCAAATCTAATCAGAAATGCCAAGGCCCAAATCTAATCAGAAATGCCAAGGCCCAAATCCCATAATTCTATTTCCAAAATAATAACAGACAAATGAAATAACAATGTCAGGCTGTTAGAATTCTCTTCAAATATAAAAGTATTGTGGTGATAATAGATAGTTCCGTGGTAGCATGGGCTCCATGTTTAAACGCCAGTCAGAAACAACAGCTTGGGAGAGTTCCGATTCCGGCACAGAGTCGCTAACTTCCTCAAAGTTGCTATTACCTTGCTCCTTCAGCTGTATTTCTTCTTTGAACAAGAACTTAGAGCATGGCTCTCCATCATACTCTGGGTAATAAGTCCCTCCTCCTTGTTAGCAGCACAGTGATCAGGTACACTTAGCAATCCACAGAGCTATGAGGCGAACCACATAGCGGTTGAAGATCTTTGATCCCAGTCCAAGTGCTCTCGCCAGCACCATTCTGGGGCTTAGTATCTCCTCCACGTTCTCCATGATGTTCGTGGCCACCTCCAAGTGATCTGTGGACTGCTGAAGAGTGTTGACCAGCTGCTTCCCCCCAGTGACCTGGACCCATAGCAAGGACCATAGGAGAGCTTCTGCATCCTTCAAAAGAGGGGTGACCTTCAGAGAAAGTCAGTTCCGAAAGGGTTTGTAATTCACTTGAAGAAGCACCTGGGAGATAATGTGACTGATGGTATAACTGAGCACCACGACCTGCTTCGGGAAGGTCTTGCCCTTGGAGCAGCTCTCGTCACCTTGGTCCCAATTTCAGCGAGGGCTCTTTGGACGATGTCCCTTGTGCTGTCTCCTTCTGCCGCCGTGTCCACCAGGCTCTCCACAACCTCCCTGACTTCCTGTGGAATCTCCAACTGGGTTTGGCTGAGGGGCTCTACCTGGAGCATCTCCTCTGAGCTGATCTCAGGTTGGGCATGTTTCTCTGCGTTGTCAGTGAAGAGCTGCTGTTGCTCCACGATGATCTTCACATGGAAAAGAGAGAAATACATGTTATCTCTAAATGCTCATCTTATAACTATTGATATAGGTTAAAACAGCAGTCTATAATTAGATATTTATATATTTTATTTTCAATACATTTGCAAAAATATCTAAAATCATGTTTTCACTTTGTCATTATGGAGTTTTGTGTGTAGATGGGTGTATATATTTTTTAAAAATCAATTTCGAATTTCAGGCTGTAACACAACAAATTGTGGAATAAGTCAAGGGGTATGAATACTTCTGAATGCACTGTTTGTATGTCTTATGAAACATACAGTAGGCCTCTATTACTACAGTATTACACTGAAAATCATCCCAAACAGGGATAAGAGAAGCCAGTCATACCTTTCCAGTAGACAGGAGAGACGGGCATCGTTCCACATTGAGCTCTCTCTGAACATCCTGCTCCATGTTAATGAGCCTGTGCCGACTCCTCACCTTCAAAGTTTGTCTGTGAGTTTGGATTTAGTGGAATATTGAGTTGCATATTAGCAGTGGCAAATATTTGTACAAATGAAGGCATTTACAACTCATTTTGCACACCTGACACACTTGACAATGTCATTTTGATCAGGCTATTATAGATATTTTACATCACGCTGGTTATAAAGTTAAGTATATTTCTTACCAGCTCAATGAGGTAGGGGTTTCTCCCCTCTGTCACTTCCTGAAATCTACAAATGAAACACAGAATGCATATCAGTCACTTTGTGTCATATATTCAGCAAAGAGACTTATTAACGTGCTTTGGCCATGTATTTCACTTTATCATTAGCTAAACAGGAAAGTGTTGGACAGGTTGAATTCCTGTGGACCTTGAGGTCTCACTCACTGTTTCAGGAAGGCTTTCTTAGCATTGAAGATGACAGGCCACCATTAGCTCTGGTTCATTTGAACTGGTACAAACCTATAAGGGATATGACGGGCCACTTTCAACCTATTATCATTTATCACTTCCTATGTAGGTCTACATTTTAAAAAATCCATGACATTTTTTTACCTGCTCATCAAGGTATGACAGAAGCCAGTATGTGTGGATGCATTGGAAATGCATTTGAAATACATGGGCCCCGTGTATCTCAGTTGGTAGAGCATGGCACTTGCAACGCCAGGGTTGTGGGTTCGATTCCCACGGGGGGCCAGTATGAAAACTTTTTTTTATTTTTTTTATGTATGCACTCACTAACTGTAAGTCGCTCTGGATAAGAGCGTCTGCTAAATGACTAAAATGTAAAATGTTCACTACAACCTATTCTAAAGCGAAGAGAACCAAGGGAACCTATAAATGTATCATGGACAGAATCAAACAAATATCAGAGAGCGATGTGTATGCCACAACGCCAGATAGAGGTTATGAAGTTATTTCACCTTCATAAAGTAATATTGAGGTGTTTTACACAGTGACGTCACTAGATGGCGCACAATGTCAAGCGATGTTTTTGTCGTCATACAATTGAATTGGGCCTCATGCGGGCCCGCAGTAAACACATAGAGATCCTATTAAATTACTAGTGGGGCTTTGTCATAAACCCTCAAAGTTGCATAATGGGGAAAAATCCAAAACCAGTCTAATTGGAACGAATGGCAGTATAGACATAGGTAATATAAACTCAGCAAAAAAATAAACTTCCTCTCACTGTCAACTGCGTTTATTTTCAGCAAACTTAACATGTGTAAATATTTGTATGAACATAACAAGACTCAACAACTGAGACATAAACTGAACAAGTTCCACAGACATGTGACTAACAGAAATTGAATAATGTGTCCCTGAACAAAGGGGGGGTCAAAATCAAAAGTAACAGTCAGTATCTGGTGTGGCCACCAGCTGCATTAAGTACTGCAGTGCATCTCCTCCTCATGGACTACACCAGATTTGCCAGTTCTCGCTGTGAGATGTTACCCCACTCTTCCACCAAGGCACTTGCAAGTTCCCAGACATTTCTGGGGGGAATGGCCCTAGCCCTCACCCTCCGATCCAACAGGTCCCAGACGTGCTCAATGGGATTGAGATCCGGGCTCTTCGCTGGCCATGGCAGAACACTGACATTCCTGTCTTGCAGGAAATCACGCACAGAACGAGTAGTATGGCTGGTGGCATTGTCATGCTGGATGGTCATGTCAGGATGAGCCTGCAGGAAGGGTACCACATGAGGGAGGAGGATGTCTTCCCTGTAACGCACAGCATTGAGATTGCCTGCAATGACAACAAGCTCAGTCCGATGATGCTGTGACACACCGCCCCAGACCATGACGGACCCTCTACCTCTAAATCGATCCCGCTCCAGAGTACAGGCCTCGGTGTAACGCTCATTCCTTCAACGATAAACGCGAATCCGACCATCACCCCTGGTGAGACAAAACCGCGACTCGTCAGTGAAGAGCACTTTTTGCCAGTCCTGTCTGGTCCAGCGACAGTGGGTTTGTGCCCATAGGCGACGTTGTTGCCGGGGATGTCTGGTGAGGACCTGCCTTACAACAGGCCTACAAGCCCTCAGTCAAGCCTCTCTCAGCCTATTGCGGACAGTCTGAGCACTGATGGAGGGATTGTGCGTTCCTGGTGTAACTCGGGCAGTTGTTGTTGCCATCCTGTACCTGTCCCGCAGGTGTGATGTTCGGATGTACCGATCCTGTGCAGGTGTTGTTACACGTGGTCTGCCACTGCGAGGACGATCAGCTGTCCGTCCTGTCTCCCTGTAGCGCTGTCTTAGGCGTCTCACAGTACCGACATTGCAATTTATTGCCCTGGCCACATCTGCAGTCCTCATGCCACCTTGTGGTCCTCTGTAGCTCAACTGGTAGAGCACCGCGCTTGTAACGCCAAGGTAGTGGGTTCGATCCCCGGGACCACCCATACACAAAAAAATGTATGCACGCATAACTGTAAGTCGCTTTGGATAAAAGCGTCTGCTAAATGGCATATTATTATTATTATATTATTGCAGCATGCCTATGGCACGTTCACGCAGATGAGCAGGGACCCTGGGCATCTTTCTTTTGGTGTTTTTCAGAGTCAAAGTTTTCATAACTTTGACCTTAATTTCCTACCGTCTGTAAGCTGTTAGTGTCTTAACGACCGTTCCACAGGTGCATGTTCATTAATTGTTTATGGTTCATTGAACAAGCATGGGAAACAGTGTTTAAACCCTTTACAATGAAGAAGTTATTTGGATTTTTACTAATTATCTTTGAAAGACAGGGTCCTGAAAAAGGGACGTTTCTTTTTTTGCTGAGTTTATACGGCATTTAGCAGACGCTTTTATCCTAAGCGACTTACAGTTATGTGTATATACATTTTACATATGGGTGGCCTGGAAATGGAACCCACAACCCTGGCGATGAAAGCACCATGCTCTACCAACTGAAACATAAAGGACCACCATATAGGTGATGCATTTCCTGCTTTTACTTATGCAGGAAAATTAAAGTTAAACATGTGATGTATCAGAAATTGTGTAATGGAATTATAGTCAACCTTAAATATTGTCATATAATTAATTATAAATACAGTTTATACTGGTTTTCCACCAATTTACTATGTAAATAGCCTCAAAAATACCTTAGGCATGCTGCAAGGAGTCATGAGGACTGCAGATGTGGCCAGGTTATCCTGTGGATGTGATATATACTGGAATCATAATAAACTTAAATCAAGCTAACCTGTTATGCCAAACATGGTGCACTTGCAATTCATTATTACAAACTGTTAAAGCAATGTAACAACTATGACGAAACAGATACAAAATGAGAATAAGGTCATAAGAAACCATATCTGGAAGATAATTCAGTATATAATGAAGAAGCTTAAATTTGGCATCCACTTTTTATTGTAGTTTGTCCTGAAAGCTGAGCCCTCATTGCAAACACATTATAAACCCCAATAACAGCAACCAGGAACACTTTGACTAATCATATTCTTCTTTTAGTAGAAACACTCTCCATCTCCAGCTTCAAGGAACACTAAAACAATGACATGAGTATCAGAAATGATTGTACTTCACAGGAGTTGGCTCACGTTCACCTAAAAGGGCATAGATCTAGGACTGAATTGAATAGCAGTCATATTTTTAGAGAGTTGGTGATGAGGGTACATTTCAAATACTGTCCAGGTTTTGACTTCACCACAGTAGTGTCCACGATCAGATAGTTACATTCAGAATGGGTTCAATTCATTATCCATTCTATTCTCCTCAGTTTGAGTCTGCACCCTCTCTCACTTGTCTTTACTTTGTTAGTTGTTAGTATCAAATCACACAATCAATCAATCAATAACAGTTTCCTATTAATTTTAGTCCAATAATCAATCGACAAACAGTTTAAAAAGTTTCTTTCCAGTCCTGGGGGCTCTGGAATTCCATCATGTAGAATAGATCATCACTATAACACAAAAAAAACAGATCAATATTCACACACATTTTCTGACTACATTGGAAAACACTCTAGATACAACCTTTATATGCAGTATCCAAACACCGTAAATTAAAATGACTTTTTTAAAATTTTGACACGTTCTCACTCTCTTTTACTCTTGTCAAACACTTATACAATAAAGTTATTCAAAGAGACACTAGAGTGAGTAGTAGGAGAAAGAGGGAAAAGGAGTACAAACAAGAGATTTCCTCTGTCCTGGTTAAGGGCCTGTATTCAATTATGATCTAAAAGGCTAAACTGATCCTAAGACTATACAGTCCCAGACCTACACAGTACCAGAGGAGATCCCAAGGTGCATAGAGTTTGGGGATGGATAATTGCACAGCGTATTTGGCTACATCCAAAATGGCACCCTAATCCCTACATAGTGCACTACTCTTGACCAGTTCCTGCATAGTGCTTTGCTCAAAAGTAGTGCATTATATAGGTATTAGGGTGCCATTTCGGACGCAAAAGTCAATCACTGACAGTAAACATAACAATGAGAATGAACAACAACAACAAACCATGTTCTCATAAAAGTAAGACAGCACACAGTCAAGGCAAAGCTTTGTAAGGAAAAAGATCCAAGGTGAAAAAGCAGTTTAGGGTACTAAGAGCTAGCCTAGTAAGGCTTGCCACCTTGGCAAGACAGCACAAACAGATCTGGGACCAGGCTAACTAACAGCTACAACAACACACCCAAACACACCCCGTAAAACATACATACAGTGGGGAGAACAAGTATTTGATACACTGCCGATTTTGCAGGTTTTCCTACTTACAAAGCATGTAGAGGTCTGACATTTTTATCATAGGTACACTTCAACTGTGAGAGACGGAATCTAAAACAAAAATCCAGAAAATCACATTGTATGATTTTTAAGTAATTAATTAGCATTTTATTGCATGACATAAGTATTTGATCACCTACCAACCAGTAAGAATTCCGGCTCTCACAGACCTGTTAGTTTTTCTTTAAGAAGCCCTCCTGTTCTCCACTCATTACCTGTATTAACTGCACCTGTTTGAACTCGTTACCTATATAAAAGACACCTGTCCACACACTCAATCAAACAGACTCCAACCTCTCCACAATGGCCAAGACCAGAGAGCTGTGTAAGGACATCAGGGATAAAATTGTAGACCTGCACAAGGCTGGGATGGGCTACAGGACAATAGGCAAGCAGCTTGGTGAGAAGGCAACAACTGTTGGAGCAATTATTAGAAAATGGAAGAAGTTCAAGATGACGGTCAATCATCCTCGGTCTGGGGCTCCATGCAAGATCTCACCTCGTGGGGCATCAATGATCATGAGGAAGGTGAGGAATCAGCCCAGAACTACATGGCAGGACCTGGTCAATGACCTGAAGAGAGCTGGGACCACAGTCTCAAAGAAAACCATTAGTAACACACTATGCCGTCATGGATTAAAATCCTGCAGCGCACGCAAGGTCCCCCTGCTCAAGCCAGTGCATGTCCCGTCTGAAGTTTGCCAATGACCATCTGGATGATCCAGAGGAGGAATGGGAGAAGGTCATGTGGTCTGATGAGACAAAAATAGAGCTTTTTGGTCTAAACTCCACTCGCCGTGTTTGGAGGAAGAAGAAGGATGAGTACAACCCCAAGAACACCATCCCAACTGTGAAGCATGGAGGTGGAAACATCATTCTTTGGGGATACTTTTCTGCAAAAGGGGACAGGACGACTGCACCGTATTGAGGCGAGGATGGATGGGGCCATGTATCGCGAGATCTTGGCCAACAACCTCCTTCCCTCAGTAAGAGCATTGAAGATGGGTCGTGGCTGGGTCTTCCAGCATGACAACGACCCGAAACACACAGCCAGGGCAACTAAGGAGTGGCTCCGTAAGAAGCATCTCAAGGTCCTGGAGTTGCCTAGCCAGTCTCCAGACCTGAACCTAATAGAAAATCTTTGGAGGGAGCTGAAAGTCCGTATTGCCCAGCGACAGCCCGAAATCTGAAGGATCTGGAGAAGGTCTGTATGGAGGAGTGGGCCAAAATCCCTGCTGCAGTGTGTGCAAACCTGGTCAAGACCTACAGGAAACGTATGATCTCTGTAATTGCAAACAAAGGTTTCTGTACCAAATATTAAGTTCTGCTTTTCTGATGTATCAAATACTTATGTCATGCAATAAAATGCCAAATTAATTACTTAAAAATCATACAATGTGATTTTCTGGATTTTTGTTTTAGATTCCGCCTCTCACAGTTGAAGTGTACCTATGATAAAAATTACAGACCTCTACATGCTTTGTAAGTAGGAAAACCTGCAAAATCGGCAGTGTATCAAATACTTGTTCTCCCCACTGTACATACAAATCCAACATCTCCAATGAAGGTATGAGGCCAGTAGTAACATCTCCAATGAAGGTATGAGGCCAGTAGTAAGTCATGAAGTAGCCTACTAGACAGGCATGGGATGGAGACCTCATAGTTTATTCTCATTACTTTGTGAACTTTTTTCTCTCTCTATGATTGCCCTTTGATTAGAAAAAAATGGCATTCTAGTAAAGAGCACTGTGCTTTTTGAGAGACATTCAAGGCCATACCAGTCTTAAAGCGAATTGGCCGAGACAGCAGTGTTAAGGTCGGGGGTCACCTTCTTTTGACCAATCAGAACAGAGCAATTCTTGCACTTCCTCATATCATATTGCACATTTTGGTCTGGAGGGGGATGAACCAACCACATAAACTAGGCTATAGCCTGGTCCCAGATCTGTTTGTGCTGTCTTGCCAATTGTTGTGCTGTTGTTAAGAAGACAGCACTAACAGATCCAAGACCAGGTTACATAAACTAAACTAATGGGCCAATCTCTAGTCTAACACCCTCAGATCATCCAAAAGTGAAATCAGTTGTCAATAATGTCTCTCATCATGACTTCTAAAGTTCTCCATCTATATCCTTTATCCTTAACATGTATTTGGCAACAAGTCTGAAAAGGCGAAAGAGAGACGTTCCTAATTACAAAAGCCCCATTTTCAACACTCTCAGTGTGGCACATCATAGCACACCCTACATATTTTGACACAACCCACCTCTCCTCCCAGGGCAGCTGTCTGTGTGACTAGAACAGAACATCCGGGTTAAAGGGGTGATGTGTCATAAGGGCGTTTGGCACCTCTATTAGAGGGGAAGTCGCTAGGATTCTGTACAAAATGGCACCCTATTCCCTATATAGTGCACTACTTTGGATCAGGGCCTATAAGGCTCTGGTGAAAAGTAGTACATTAAATAGGGAATAGTTTTGCAACTGAAAACATTTGAACGAGCGTTTCTTATTGGACAAGTCCCTCCCTGTTTTAATCTGTTTTCTTCCGTTTGGCCTAATGAACAGGACCCAGCCAGAGACTGCTCAGCTCAGTTCAGTTGGTCTCATAGGAGGAGAGCAGGGCTGCGTCCACAGGCTCCATACAGGAAGGACAGGTAAAGGACCTCATCAGCCAGGCGTCGATGCAGTCCACATGGTAGATGTGCAGGCAGGGAAGGAACCGGATGGGATCGCCGTACTCAAAGTCATTCATGCAGATCGCACACCTGGAGAGAGTGAGGCGCAAGACATGATAGCGTTTAGTCAAAATTTGGGACCAGTTTCAAATAATGAAAGGCCTACAGCTGACTTACATACGCTTTGTAATGGATGAGGTGAGTTCCCCCCCCCCCCCCCATAGAATGGGTTGGGACCCACACATTTTCTTTTGGGTCATGGCTCAAGATAATGTGGCTAGAAATAGGACATTGCTATGAAATTAGTGTCTAAATTGGTTGTACTACAAGAAAAATGACATGGTTTGTCACAGGGCACAAAAAGACAGACTCACTCTTTGACTTTCTTGTCAGAGGGCTCAGAGCCGGGGTCGAAGATGCCTCTGGGGAGGTGGTGGATGAGGCCGATCCGCTGGGCGATACGGACCTGCTCCTCCTCTGTCAGCTGGCTGGCCAGGCGCGTCTGACTGGGGGTGGGGTGGTACACTGGCGCCTGGACACGCTCCTGTATGGCATGTGGGGAGAGGGGTACAGGGTAACCCATGATACAGTCATCAGGGAGTCTCTGGACCCCCCAAAACTACATGCAGATCCTCTACTATATCAGACAGTCAGATTTTATACCATTGACTTGATGGGGAAATGGACAGACTTCAAAGGTATGGAGAAGCCATGGAAGAAAGCCTTTATAGAAGTGTTAGTAAGCTAAACCATGCCAGAAATTCTAACATAACAGGTATAGCTTACTAGTGAACCCTACACTTCTGACAGAATACGAAATGAGTCTGGCAACAAGATACAAAACACAGCCCATGCAACATACAACGTGGGCAGTTAGCTGACATGGTTATCAATGGATCCCCGGTATAGATGTGATCCATCTCCCCCTGAACTTACCTGGTAAGGCGGTGGAGGCTCCCCTGGAACACTGGCTCCCTCGGACTCGTTGAGGAGAGACAAGTCGTCGGCGCCTTGCGAAAACAAACAGTTCCCCATTGAACTGGACCAGCACACACAACACCCACTACGACCAGGACAGCTAGCTAAGAGGACAGCAAGATAAGCACGTATTTTTTTTTGACGTGTCTTGCTAGATAAGTTGTTCTTTATCAGTAAGCTTAGCTTAGCTAGCCAGCTGGGTAGCTAGCTAGCAGGAACGAGCAGAAGCCCTCCAACGTCGATGCAGAAAAACAATAATAATCGCCGTGCAACTTGGAAATAAAAGTAAATATCGCTCCAAACAACGACATGTAAATACTGTACCTAATTATACCTATACCAAAGTCAGCGAACTGTGCATGACACCGATTACAATTTGTGCTATTTGGTTATTCGATCTGGCTTATTTTTAGATTAAACCTTTTGATGAATCCATCTTTGTTTTGGCTTTGTTTACAAACTGTATACACAGAAGTGACGTAGCTAGTTAATAGGAAGTTGGTAGATCCGGAAGTTGCCTTTTGAAAAAATGTGCGGGTAGGTGGACCAGAAAGTGTGCCTAATAAGCGGTGGTGTGAAGTACTACTTAAGTCGTAATTTGGGTTATCTGTAATATATTTTACTATGTATATATTTGACTACTTATACTCCACTACATTCCTAAAGAACATAATGTACTTTTTACTCCATACATTTTCCCCTGACACACAAAAGTACTCGTTACATTTCGAATGCTTAGCAGGACAGGAAATGGTCAAATTCAAGTACTTATCCCTGGTCATCCCTACTGCCTCTGATCTGGTGGACTCACTCAACACAAATGCTTCCTTTGTAAAGGATATCTGAGTGTTGGAGTTAAAGAAAATAAAATCATGCCATCTGGTTTACTTAATATAAGGAATGTGAAATGATTAAAACGTTTACTTTTGATACTTAAGTATATTTTAGCAATAACATTTATACTGAACAAAAATATAAATGCAACAATTTCAAAGATCTTTACTGAGTTACAGTTCATAGAAGGAAATTAGTCAATTTAAATACATTTATTAGGCCCTAATCTATGGATTTCACATGACTGGACAGGGTGCAGCCATGGGTGGGCCTGGGAGGGCATAGGCCCACCCACTGGGGAGCAGGCTGAGGCAATCAGAAATTCAGAAATTTCCATCCCCAACTACAACATTTTCCTTTCTAGATAGAACTGCCAAAGGGGGTGGAGTTGCAATCTACTGTAGAGATAGCCTGCAGAGCTCTATCATACTATCCAGGTCTGTGCCCAAACAGTTTGAGCTCCTACCTCTAAAAATCCACCTTTCCAGAAATAAGTCTCTCACTGTTGCCGCTTGCTACAGATCCCCCTCAGCCCCCAGCTGTGCCCTGGACACCATATGTGAATTGATTGCCCCCCATCTATCCTCAGAGTTCGTACTGCTTGGTGACCTAAACTGGGATATGCTTAACACCCCGGCCATCCTACAATCCAAACTAGATGCCCTCAATCTCACACAAATTATCAAGGAACCTACCAGGTACAACCCTAAATCCGTAAACATGGGCACCCTCATAGATATCATCCTGACTAACTTACCCTCTAAATACACCTCCACTGTCTTCAACCAGGATCTCAGCGATCACTGCCTTATTGCTTGCGTCCGTAACGGGTCCGCGGTCAAACGACCACCCCTCATCACTGTCAAACGCTCCCTAAAACACTTTAGCGAGCAGGCCTTCCTAATTGACCTGGCCCAGGTATCCTGGATGGATATCGATCTCATTCCATCAGTAGAGGATGCCTGGTTGTTCTTTAAAAGTGCTTTCCTCTCAATCTTAAATAAGCATGCCCCATTCAAAAAATGCAGAACTAAGAACAGATATAGCCCCTGGTTCTCCTCAGACTTGACTGCCCTTGACCAGCACAAAAACATCCTGTGGCGTACTGCATTAGCATCGAATAGCCCCCGCGATATGCAACTTTTCAGGGAAGTTAGGAACCAATATACACAAGCAGTTAGGAAAGCAAAGGCTAGCTTTTTCAAACAGAAATGTGCATCCTGTAGCACTAACTCCAAAAAGTTTTGGGACACTGTAAAGTCCATGGAGAATAAGAGCACCTCCTCCCAGCTGCCCACTGCACTGAGGCTAGGAAACACTATCACCACTGATAAATCTACAATAATCGAGAATTTCAACAAGCATTTTGCTACGGTTGGCCATGCTTTCCACCTAGCTACCACTACCCCGGCCACCAGCTCTGCACCCCCACTTCTCCTTCACACAAATTCAGACAGCTGATGTTCTGAAAGAGCTGCAAAATCTGGACCCCTACAAATAATCTGGGCTAGACAATCTGGACCCTTTCTTTCTAAAAATAGCCGCCGAAATTGTTGCAACCCCTATTACTAGCCTGTTCAACCTCTCTTTCATAACGTCTGAGATCCCCAGAGATTGGAAAGCTGCCGCGGTCATCCCCCTCTTCAAAGGGGGTGACACTCTAGATCCAAACTGTTACAGACCTATTATATCCATCCTGCCCTGCCTTTCGAAAGTTTTTGAAAGCCAAGTTAACAAACAGATCACCGACCATTTCGAATCCCACCATACCTTCTCCGCTATGCAATCCGGTTTCCGAGCTGGTAATGGGTGCACCTCAGCCACGCTCAAGGTCCTAAACGATATTATTACCGCGATCGATAATAGACAGTACTGTGCAGCCGTCTTCATTGACCTAACTAAGGCTTTCGACTCTGTCAACCACCGCATTCTTATTGGCAGACTAAATAGCCTTGGTTTCTCAAATGACTGCCTCGCCTGGTTCACCAACTACTTCTCAGATAGAGTTCAATGTGTCAAATCGGAGGGCCTGTTGTCTGGACCTATTGCAGTCTCTATGGGGGTGCCACAGGGTTCAATTCTTGGGCCAACACTTTTCTCAGTGTATATCAATGATGTCGCTCTTGCTGCTGGTGACTCTCAGATCCACCTCTACGCAGATGACACAATTTTGTATACATCTGGCTCTTCATTGGACACTGTGTTAACAAACCTCCAAACGAGCTTCAATGCCATACAACACTCCTTCTGTGGCCTCCAACTGCTCTTAAACACTAGTAAAACTAAATGCATGCTCTTCAATCGAACGCTGCTGTCACCCGCCCACCCGACTAGAATCACTACTCTCGACGGGTCTGACCTAGAGTATGTGGACAACTACAAATACCTAGGTGTCTGGTTAGACTGTAAACTCTCCTTCCAGACTCACATTAAGCATCTCCAATCCAAAGTTAAATCTAGAATCTGCTTCCTATTTCGCAACAAAGCCTCCTTCACTCATGCTGCCAAACATGCCCTCGTAAAACTGACTATCCTACCGATCCTTGACTTCGGCAATGTCATTTACAAAATAGCCTCCAACACTCTACTCAGCAAATTGGATGTAGTCTATCACAGTACCATCCGTTTTGTCACCAAAGCCCCATATACTACCCACCACTGTGACCTGTACGCTCTTGTTGGCTGGTCCTCACTCATATTCGTCGCCAAACCCACTGGCTCCAGGCCATCTATAAATCACTGCTAGGCAAATCTCTGCCTTATCTTAGCTCATTGGTCACCATAGCAACACCCACCCATAGTATGCGCTTTAGCAGGTATATCTCACTGGTCATCCCCAAAGCCAACACCTCCTTAGGCCGCCATTCCTTCCAGTTCTCTGCTGCCAATGACTGGAACGAACTGCAAAAATCTCTGAAGCTGGAGATTCTTATCTCCCTCACTAACTTTAAGCATCAGTTGTCAGAGCACCTTACCGATCACTGCACCTGTACACAGCCCTTCTGAAATTAGCCCACTCAACTACCTCATCCCCATATTGTTATTTACTTTGCTCATTTGCACCCCAGTATCTCTATTTGCACATCATCTCTTGCACATCTATCATTCCAGTGTTAATACTAATTGCAATTATTTTGCACTATGGCCTATTTATTGCCTTACCCCCATAACTTGCTACATTTGCACACACTGTATATATATGTTCTGTTGTATTTTTGACTTTATGTTTTGTTTTACCCCATATGTAAATCTGTGTTGTTGTTTTTATCGCACTACTTTGCTTTATCTTGGCCAGGTCGCAGTTGTAAATGAGAACTTGTTCTCAACTGACTTACCTGGTTAAATAAAGGTGAAATAAAATAAAATACAAAATCTGAATACTTTTTCCCCACAAAAGGGCTTTATTACAGACATGCATACTTCTCAGTTTCATCAGCTGTCCGGGTGGCTGGTCTCAAACGATCCTGCAAGGGAAGAAGCCAGATGTGGAGGTCCTGGGCTGGCGTGGTTACACGTGGTCTGCGGTTGTGAGGCCGGTTGGACGTACTGACAAATTCTCTAAAACGACGTAGGAGGCGGCTTATGGTAGAGAATGGCAACAGCTCTGTTGGATATTCCTGCAGTCAGCGTGCCAATTGCACGCTCCCTTAAAACTTGAGACATCTGTGGCATTGTATTGTGTGACAAAAATGCACATTTTAGAGTGGCCTTTTATTGTCCCCAGCACAAGGTGCACCTGTGTAATGATCATACTGTTTAATCAGCTTCTTGAATGCCAAACCTGTCAGGTGGATGGATTATCTTGGCAAAGGATAAATGCTCACTAACAGCAATGTAAACAAATTTGTGCACATAATTTGAGAGAAATACGCTTTCTGTGCGAATGGAAAATTTATTTTTTATTTCAGCTCATGAAACATGGGACCAACACTTGTTGCGTTTATATTTTTGTTCAGTATACTTTTGATACTTAAGTATATTTAAAACCAAATACTTTTACTCACGTAGTACTTTACTGGGTGGCTTTCACTTTTACTTGAGTCATTTACTATTAAGGTATCTATACTTATGAAAATTGGGTTATTTTCCCCCCACTGCTAATAAGACTAACAATAATATTATCCCTTCATAATTTTAATTTCCAGTCATCATAAAGACAACACAGATCTAACAGTCAAGAACATCCTTCACTGTATGGCTACCTTTCCACATTTACATTTTAGTCATTTAGCAGACGCTCTTATCCAGAGCGACTTATCCAGAGCGACTTACACTCACAGTTAGTGAGTGCATACATTTTTCATACTGGCCCCCCGTGGGAATCGAACCCACAACCCTTGCGTTGCAAGCGCCATGCTCTACCAACTGAGCTACAGGAGGCCTACCTGCGCTTGTCATGTAGGTATGAGGTTCCACTATTATCATTTCTATTCTCAGTCATGATCATAAAGAAAGACACAACACATTCAAGATACTACAGTCAAGAACATCCTTTTATTCAATCAAGGTGCTGCTCCTCTCAAACTGTGTTTTTCTTCTTATGGAAAAGAAACTGTAATTAACACATGCATTTCACCTATAGAGCTCTGGGGGTGTTTCTTATACACAAAGACATGGGATGTATTCAAAATGGCAGCCTATTCCCT